TAAGGTATTTACCTTATATATTAGCTAGACTACCTGGCCTAAGACCTTAGTTAGTTACAGTTAATATATATATATCCCTCTTAATAGCTAGATCCTTTGATGTAACGGTAATCCCTACCCTTGTCTTGGCTAGATAACCGATATATCCTTGCTCATCGTAAGCTAAGCACACGCCCTTGATGAATACGACTCCATAATCTGTATTGGTTGCTCTCTGACTTGATGAGTTTGCGGAGCCGACTTCTGCTACCGAGGAGGCTCAGCTGTCATTGTTGTGCCCCTTGGTTTTCGGGATGTCGCTGGTGAAGCTCAGGGACTTGTCGAGGGATTGGACAGGGGCATGAGGATCTCCACTTACGTATGACACGGACGGACGGCGTAACATCACAGCGCTTACTCTTTCATGCTTGATTAGTTGAGCAGAATTGGAAACAGAACTGGGTACATCCACTGTAGCTGACCGTGGAACTGGAAGTGCGGTTTTCTCGATCTTCTGTCGTCGAGATATCGGTATCTAGCAATCCCCACGCAAATTAAGTAACACTTCGCTCAAGCAAATTTGTACTCTGGTATAGGATAGACTGAAAGGACTTTGCAATTATAATGGTTCTGAGTAACCTCACCATTGGGGTGGTCTGCTGCGTAGTGGTAGCCATCGTTGCCTTGGTTACTAGAAAGCAGCCTGATGCAAGAGAGCCACCTTACGTCAAAGAGACCATTCCATACTTCAGTCACATCTACGGACTGTTGAAGCATGGCTTGCGATACTTTGATCTCGTCAGGCAAGTCTTGAATCACTCTCGTCGACTGTCGCTAACCTCATCAGCGCCCAACAACCGCATCCAATCTTCACCATTGACATGTCCGGCCAAAAGAACTACATCGTGACATCTCCAGAACTTGTGCAAGCTGTTCAGCGCAATACGACCTCTCTTTCATTCAGTCCAGCTATGATCCCGGCATTCCGTCGAATGATGGGTTTCGACGAGGCCGGTATTGAACTCATCTTTCGCGATGCTCACACTGAGAACGGCATGTATGGTGAGATTCATAGAGTCCAAAAGGCCTCGTTGCTCCCGGGTACGGAGTCTCTTGATGAACTATGCACGCTCATTCGTGCCAAACTGCTCAATATCGTCAATAAACTTTCTTCAAGCCAGACAATTGATCTTTATGCATGGGTTCAGGATCTGTTCATGAGAACAAACAACTCTGCCTGTTTTGGCGAGAAGGACCCCTTCACTCTTGACCCATCACTCAACTGGACATTTTGGTAGGAAGCCTGGACTCAATTGCAGGAATTTTCACTAACATTAATAGGGCCTGGGAAGCTAATATCAAAGTACTCCTCCTGGGAGTCCCTTGGTTCTTGAGCCCCAAGAAGCACTCCACAGCACAGAGAACTCGCAAAGAGCTCGTCGATGCATTCTTGAAGTATCTCAACGACAGCGGTCTGGATACTGCTTGCTCATTCATTAAGGAACTTTCGGGGCTGGGCATCCGGCGAGGTTTGAGTAATGAGAATAATGCTCGTGCTCTACTTGGCAGCATCCTTGCGATTGTTGGAAACACCATCCCTACGACATTCTGGCTGTTGATATCGATCTTCTCCAGGCCGGATTTGTTGAAAGAGATTCGATCAGAGATTGAAGCTACCCTTGAAGATTCTTTGTCACGGACAATATCTCTCGACTACACTACTATTCGTGAGAAGTGCCCAGTCTTCATGTCAACTTACGATGAAGTCCTCCGAATGACTAGTGGCATCGCGACAGTGCGGTACACTAATGAAGACACTCTCATCCAGGATCGCTGGCTCTTGAAGAAAGGCGCTCAAGTCCAGATGCCAACAGCTTTCATCCACGTTGATCCAACGACCTGGGGTACGGATGCGGACGTCTTTGACCACACGAGATTCCTCAAGTCCATGGTCCTCACCAAGGAGCAGAAGACCCGAAGAGCTGCCGCGTTCAGGCCATTTGGCGGTGATAACACTCTCTGCCCTGGTCGTCACTTTGCATCCTATGAGGTCCTGACCTTTGTCGGAAGTGTTCTGCTGGGTTTTGACATGACGCCCACTACAGATTCATTCATAGTTCCACCGATGGATAGATCAAAGCTCCCTTTGACGTCTCTCAAGCCGGCTGGGGATATCAAGGTAAATCTGTTGAGGAGGCCTGGTTGGGGAGAAATGGAGTTCAGATAATTGACACGTCGCGAATTATTGAAACAAATATTATTTGGAATAAATCGTGAAATGATTTTCATATTGGATCTTCTGATGCTGATGATTGAATCTTGGCCTCTTGGAGAGAACCTGTTTCCAGCGAGCCTCCTTGGCATAGGCTACTCACAGTGAGGTGACGGTTCGCCTGGATTATCGATATTCAAGCCATAGTGCTATGAGATGTCTTCAGTCGTACACAAGTCCGAATCATGAATATAGCCTGAATTCCTTACTATACCAACAACGGCCTCCCAATGTTGAGACGAGTAACTCTAGGACCCGGTTGAGAAAGAAACATATCAGCACAGAGAACTTAGGAAAAGAAACATGGTCTGCCATAGCAACACCGTAATTCTCAGTCTGTCTTGCATTCTTTTTTTAGAGTCCCCATCGTCCAGCATAAAGGTGCGGTTCCTAAACTTTGCGTTGGAATGGCATGGGCATAGAAGAGTCCAAGTCTCCAGCATTGAAAATAACCGCCATCGTCATCTGATTGTTTCTTCTTTCTATCAGTTGCGTTCATCCCAGATATATTGATTTTAATGCAGATCGACCTGTGTCAAGGGGTTTGAATGTCAGGACGTTCACCCTGCCCTAAAGCGTCGTTGGAAAAGCATCCGGCGAGCCTAAGAAGAGGTCTTCATCGTCTTATAGGCTAAAGATAAGGGAGTAAGGTTGTGGGTAAAGAGGCTTCCGCACAAAGGTAAAGAACACCAATAAACACATACGGGCAAGATACTCATTGCCCTTGCTGTTGCCTAGGAGGCTAAAGGTAAGAATAGGGTCGTTAAAGAGAAGTTCTTAACCCTAGGATGACCAATCCACTCCCCTTAGGTCGAAAGAGCTAACGTTAGTGGAGGAGTCATGGCCACATTTTTCGGGAACTACCTCTCTCAGCTGTCGATTGAGCTCTTCGTACTCAGCTTCGAGGAAGTAATCCGCACTAGAATCCATTGTAGGTGTAGTTTTCGGTCCCGCGCTGGCAACTAAAGCCGGCTTGCGATTTTCCAACAGGGTCGATATGAGTTCTCACGGTCTTGAGCTGTGAAACAATACTAACTGTTAGGTCATTCATGTGGCCATTCAAGTGCCCCGGGAGAGTACTTGCTGATGATAGAACCACTTCAGCCGACTTAATCTCCCTTCCGTTCTCACACGATCTTGTCAGGCCACAAGAAGCCGAAGAAGTATACTCCAGGGTACAAGATTATCAACAGTGATTTGCTTGATCTGGGGAGCCCTTGTGTGACTTGACTTTTAGAAATAACGCATAAAGATCCATGCCTCATGTTCTTAAAAGGGCTCAATAGGCGTTTGTTCGGGACTGGTCCATTACCGCTGTCAATCACGGGCAGTCAGTTCTTCTCCGCTGTTGCCCGAAACCACTTCATAACAAGCTGACGTGGTGAATCTCTGCCCGCCCTAGATCTGGAGTCCGTTTCGTAAATACGGCTCGAACAAGAGAGGAGAAGAACTCTATACTCTCGTCTGAGGATTCGTCGATCCATAAGATCTTGGATAAATTTCCATTTCACTAAGCAACATAGTCAAGAGCTAGCTGTGTTTTACCTAACCCTAATATCCCGCGAGGAGCCACCCCTTCTCATTCATGTTTACTTTCAAGACATCCTATCATCTTCACAATCCTAGCTTCTCTCCCAAAGAAACGGTCTGCAGTTGGTGAAAGGTCACATAGAAGGGTACCGCAAATCCTTTGCTTTGCTACATTTATTGTACCTACTAGCAGACGTACTACGGTGAGACAAGTTGCTTACCAGAGCTTGACGCTGCTTTACCCGGGCCTAACTTATAGACTACCGCTTTCGCATAGGCTGCGGCCATGGCAACAGCATAAGGCTGCCATTCCTTATTCTTGTAGTAGTTAGCATAGTCGCAAACACCGCTAATTACACTAACAGGTATACGATTCATTGTCCCTGTAGCTACCATCTCTAAACTGGACACTCTATAACGATCTCTTGTCTCATTGCGCTTAAGAGTGCTTTCTATTATCTTGTCCCTAGATCCAATAGAAACGTACTATATGCGAGTTCGCCTGTTAGTACGCCACTGCATCCTCTGGACGGGTCTATTACTATCATTGTCGATATCATAGAAGATATCCTTTTCCTGGCCAGGATCCGCAAATGTTCCTTTAAAGTGTTCTCTGTCTTTGACACTATCGTAAAATGGGAGAAAGATATTATTATTATCCAGAGCTATGAGCTTAATGCTGCTAATAGCTGATCTGACGACTGTTTCTATATTTGCCAGGACTTAGCCAGATCTAAGAGGCTGAAAGCCCTTTATTGTCTCTTTCCCTAAATTGTACGCAACTACTCCTATACTGTCTCCTTCAGATAATCCAATAAGGGCATTGGTAAGCCGTATATTGATTGGCGGTGTCTTTTGTGAATTTAGGAGGCCTGCCGTAACTCTAACGAGAAGACTGAACTAGAGGTTAGTGAAGAACTTTTTGATTTAGCCAGCAAGGGTAGCAGCTAAACCGGTTCTATATTCTTAGCTGGCTGGCAAGGTTACTATGACTATATTATGACTATTGATGTTACCTGCCGAGAAGATATAGTTATCGCCTCGATTAATAGTGAATCTTCTATCGTGGCGATTGTTAAGTATATGAAGAGCTGCCTGAGCCTTGATTTCCAATGGAGCAATCCATGCTATAGTATACAGCGCAGGATCAAGTTCTTTCATATTGTGTCAGACTTATCGACCCGATTGATAGAGGTTGGTGATGAATATGGATAGTAGACTTGTGATGGGCAAGCTTGAGAAGCAGCTCGGTGAAAGGTCCATGTTCCCCGCGTTTATGCGGCGTCCTGACAGGCAGCCCTATCTGGACTTCTCAACCCTTGGCTTCGCATATGACCAATGAGATCTTCAATTGCATGCGGCTTACTAGGATGGAAAGTGACAGCACGTGATTCTCTTGCCTGGGAATCAACTCAGGCATACCGAAGAGGATGCTTATGAAGTGGGTTTGATTCAATCAGAATTTCAGAATACAAACCCCTCGGGGAGCAAGAAAACATCGTAACTTGATATAGGGTGTCTAAATAAACTCAGCAAAAGGTATTCTAGGTCTGTACTAAATTTATCCTAAACTTATGATAAGTTACCTAAGTCTTTTTTCACTCAAGATCAAGGTCCTAAGTTTTCTTTCCTCCCCTAGAGACCCTAGCAAAAGTGACCAGAAGGATGAAGCGAGATGCGGCCAGGGGCAGAGTCAGCTGCACCTTCAATTGGATGGCTAGGCGCCGGACCGAGTAAGCCCGAATAAAAGACAAGAGGCAACAGGGAGGGGAAGTCGACAGCCTCGTCATCTCAACTCAAACACTGTCATTCCAGATCTTGCTTGGAAATGGACTCTAGCCACTATTACTGCCTTCGCGAGCCGGCGCACGAAATACGGCTGCTCGATCCTCTCCCGGCAAGTGCTTCCGGGGACCTAAATGGCCGTGTACGAAGATTTGGCATAGACAGTGCGCCTGCATTTGTTTCTGTTTCGCATGTCTGGGGAGACAAGAAAGCAGACCGGGCTATGTCCCTTGAGTCAGGCTGTGGAGTAAAGAACCTAACGATTTCTCTCAATCTGGAGTCCTTTCTCGTCAACATGCTCTGTCATACACCTGAAACCCTGCCGCAAATCTGGGAATCCAATGAGAGGCTATCGATGTGGATTGACATGATCTGCATCGATCAGCTGGACAATAATGAGAAGGCGTTGCAGATTCCCCTGATGCGAGATATCTACTCAAGAGCGAGGTCAGTGGTTGTGTGGATTCATGAATACGACAGCTATTTGCGCTATGCATTTCAGCATTTGCGTCGACTCAGTTCACATCAGCCGGACGAAGAGATCCCGTTTGACCCTATGGGCTGGGATGCGATTCGACGCCTGCTTGGTTGCGAGTGGTTTCATCGACGATGGGTGATTCAAGAATCCGTGCTTCCAAAGACGGCCATCTTTCTTTGCGGGTCAGACTCAATTTCCATGGATAATCTGTTTCGGGGCATCGACATGGCTGTGAAGTCGCTACTTGCACGGCCACGACCGATGAAAAAGCTCAAGCGCGGTAACACGGGCGAAGTACGGCCTATCAGGGTGCTGAGAGAACTCAGGCAGGCACTAGAAACAGATCAGAATCAGTTTGGTCTTTTCTGGCTGATGGAGCATCTCCGTTTTACCCGCGCAACCTTTGCTCACGATCAAGTCTATTCGTTACTGGGTGTTTGCAACCCCCAAGAGGCTGCTGCAACTTCAGTTCGATATGACCTCGAGCCCGAAGAGGTTTACAAGCGTTCAGCCATCCTACATGCAGATATACATGGCAACTTGGAGTTTCTGGGTCTCTGTGCGCCTGAGCAGCGTGATACCCTCTGCTCTGGATCACCTGGAAACCCAGTCTTGCGTCCGTTCGCAGGCCCGTCTTGGGTACCAAACTGGCACTCACAGAGGCTGAGGCGCTGTTTAGGTCTTAGCCATATCAACCACGAGGAGAGCTTTTTTAATGCCTCTGAAGCAATTCCTTTCGACCCTTCATTTGAGGGAGAGCAGTTAACGGTCTCAGGAGTCTTGATTGATAGGATCAGTTCAATAGCTGATTTCTGTCCTCGCGATAGAGCACCTGACTTCTCGGATGCCAACTCAAAACTGTACCAGCAGTATCTGGATTTCTGGCTGACTCCAGTGGATGAACCTGCACCGTATTCAGATGCTGTCAGTCGGGCAGAAGCCTTCATCCGAACTTTGAGTTTAGATGGCATTTACCTGGAGCCCGTACCCTCGCCTGATGATATTCCAACAATTTTCTACAACTGGTGCAGTGGCTCAACATTGTGTAAGCGGCTAGAAACGTACGGGTTCAAGCCCAAAAGGAGTGGAACTGGACCCGGACAAAAGGCATTTATCAGAATGAAGCGTCTGGTATCCTGGGATCCATTCGTCACTTCCAAGGGCTACATTGGCCTTGGCCGGGAGGGTGCTGCGATTGGGGATGAAGTTTGGCTCACCGGGGGCTGCAGTACCCCTGTTCTATTGTCCCCTAGCACGGAGGGTCCGCTCAGATATGAAGTGAAGGGGGAAGTTTTTCTTGATGGGTTCATGTTTAAGGGGCAACTTGGGGAATCAATCCACCAGGACTCGAAAATTGAGCGAATTGTTCTCGTATAGCGAATGATGGATAGCTGCCAGAATGAAACTCAGATTTGGGCATACTTTCAGTAACATAAAATTTCAAGGCCTGAAGATGGAAGAGATAGCTTGTTATTTGATCAAATTCAGAAGCGTCCTGATGCAATGGTGTATTTCTAGGATAAGCTCAAATGGCTATTTCACCACGAAGAGCTTATAATAACCTGTCCTTCTCGACTGGCAACAGCTTATGATCCTCCAACTTAAAATTTAAACTTCTCAGACTGCCTTATAATCCCCCGTTGGTACTCACTCTCTAGCAATTACTCAACTTACTTGTCTATGGAGAGCATGGTTTTCATGCAGTGCGTCAAGGTATTTCTATCAGCCAATAGTTTACTGCTGAATTAAAGACTACACAAGCACAGTTACACTTTCCCGACGGTCTTTAGTGTGAAAGTCAAACGTATAACATCTTTAGATGTATGGCAATCACAGAAATACGAACTGATCCAAATTTGAGGCATATATCAAATCTAGTTCTCCGTACTTTACCCACAAACAAATGACTCGAATTCATTCTCTCACTAGCTTCCCACGGATTCTCGGCATCTAGCTTGACTAAGTGTTTTATAATGCATGCGTAATCCATTATTCAGGAGTGACATTCAAGTCATCACCGAGATCGCCGCAGTCAGCGCGCCGCAATAAACCCCGCTTTTGCCGCATATCGTCTCCTCAGATAGTATAAAGCTTATGTCTCACCTCTTCAACTACATTTCGGTACCTCCATTACTTCATCTTAGATATCACCAATCAACAACATGGCTGAACAACGACCCCCTTTTCCTCCTTATACCAGAGAGTCTGCACGCGTAAAAGTCAAAGCGGCTCAAGATGGATGGAACACTCAGTAAGATCCCTCCACTCGGAAGCAAGCTTCTGACTCACATTCTCTTGAAGGGATCCAGCAAAGGTCAAGATGGCCTACACACCTGACTCAATCTGGCGCAATCGCGATACTTTCGTCAAGGGCCGTGACCAGATTGAGAAATTCTTGACGGACAAATGGAGTCGGGAGCATGACTACAAATTGCGCAAGGAGCTCTTTGCTTTTGATGACAATAAGGTGAGTCACATTTCTCAGATGAAGCTCAAGCATCAAAATTCTCTTGAGTTTTCTGTATGGTCTCATTTTGACGCTCGCAGATCGCCGTGCAGTTCTGGTATGAGTTCCGTGATGATGATGGGCAGTGGTGGCGATGCTATGGACTTGAGGACTGGACCTTTGATGAGAATGGCTTGATGAAGAAGAGGCAGATGAGCGGAAATAATGTCAAGATCAGTGAGGAGGATCGCTGGTTCAAGGACGGCGTTGACGTCAACACTGTCGAGATTGGACCAGAGCACTGGTAGTCGCTCTTCTGACTCTGCTTGCGGGTCCCCGGCTGAGGCATTAACAATTAATAGAAATCTCCAATTCATCTCTTTTTCGCTGAATGATAGTCTAAATTTCATTTCTTGCATAACGTCTATCACCGCTGCGGTAGAGTTAGGGTGAGCAGAGTTTGATAATGATAAGACATCACACACAGATAGTCCTTGATATCCAATTGAGGCAGTTGACATCCAATCACTAGTCGGGAATCTGTTTTGTTCTGGGAGGGGGTTGTTTCGGTGGGTTTGACAAGGGGCCGAGGGATGAAACGTAGGATCGACCAAGGTCTTGCATAGACGATCTTGAAACACGGCTAGGGGCAGGGGCATCATTCGATATTTATTCCCCATATGTATATATGTAACTACCTTCTTCATACTTTGTCGCAGACATCAACAGCATCACCAAAATACACTCTTCAAATAGGTCATAATGAGAAGACCTAATTCCATCCACCTGGTCCTTTTCATGGCCTCGGCAGTCACCGCAGCCGATTCTACATGTGCTGTATGAAATTCATCATCCTGTGATTCTCTAATACTGACGACGCGACAGATTGACTGCTTCCAAGGCCTCATCACAAATGGTCCTCCCGCTGGGTGTAAAGAGGCGACGAACTATCTCTGCTTCTGCACAATGCCTACCCTGCAAGACAATTTTGTTCAATGTGCCGACAAGACTTGCGCCGATGACAAGGACGGGGCCATGACGTGGGCAAATGAGCTTTGCTTGAGTAAGTGCAGCGACTCATTGATGGAGACCATGCTGACGAAATTCAGAACTTGGAAAGCCTATTGATCTCGGAGGCTCTGAGGGATCCCCCAAGACTGATGAGACGACGGCTGTCGAGGCCCCAACTACCAGCGCCAATGGCGAGGTGAAGCCGACCACTGAGGCTGGAAAGACGACTGATGAGGTGCCAACTACGACTACAGATGTCAAGACAGAATCCAAGATTGCGGAGACGTCAAGCGACAAGACCTCCGAGGTAACTTCTGAGTCATCAGCTGATGAAACAACCGCAACCTCGATCAAGACAACAGTCAGCAAACCGAAAGAAACAAACGACGCATCGAGCAGTGCAGCTGAAGCGACGGCTGATCAGACTAGCGATGACTCTGTTGTCACGATTACCGGAACTGCCGATACCGCTACTACAACTCCGTCTCCGACCGACGGTTCCAACATCGCCAACTCTGCAGGCCCCAACTTCTACGCTGCTGTTGGTGTTGCTGCCGCGTTTTGGCAGTTACTGTAAAAGTGCACCGCTTGGTACAATTCCTTAGCATATTTTCACTGGTACATAGATGAATAGAAGCCCTTGCGTTGATCGCAATCATTTCCCCAAAGCAATCAATCTAGAGCCGCATTCATGAAACATTCCGTGTTTGGCCTCGGAAAGGATTTTACGATCATTGGTCAATTCCTCAAGTAAATCATCCAATCTCGTTCCGCAAAATGCCATGAAAATGAAAGGATTCTCAGCTCAAGAAACAATTGGTAGAGCTTGGACATTTGGTTTAAATTACATGTTTGACACCAATGTTTTGAAACGCATTACGGGGCGGATTTCATGCACGGCGATCACCCGTTTTCCCAGCTGGTGTTTCAGCTTGTGATTCCCCAAATCGAACACGTGAGAATATTTTGAGGCCATTTAATTGGAATTGTAACGTTTCCTCAAGATACATGTTAGTCCCTACTTAATTGGCTGTTCAATTAGTCAAGACTTCACACGGCAGACAAGTCCTGCATGACGTTCTCAGCCCATCCTTTCGACAGTTCATTGTATTCATCACAAAACTTGCTACCGTACATAAAGATAAACGCTGTAAGTCAGGTCATGCGCGTGACCTTACGGCTGCTCCCTACAGGCAAATTCCAGAGCAATCATTGCCTCCCTTCTTAGCATCGCAGTCATCCGACGGATTATCATAGCAGTACAGACCCTTGGGACACTTCTCTCCGATGATTCCGCCGCATGTGTGCGGTTTGTTGGGCGCACAGATACCAGGCTTGTCACAAGCCATGCCGCAGTCACCAGGAGTCCGAGGGTCATCAACGCAGTGAGTGCCCTTCTTGCAGGGCGGAGGAGGCGTGGCGCGGAAGCCTCCACAGGTTTGATATTCGTTCTTGAAGTAACACATGCCTGAGCATTTGTTGATGTCTTTGCAGTTGGCAAGAATTGGCTTGCAGGTGGTGTCTTCAGGACACGGTGCGATCTTGCGACCGCATTCTCGGCCTGAGGATTGAGAGGCGGCTGCGAGGCCGATGGAAGCGGCAATGAGGATATTCTGAAACAACATTGTGAAGTAATGGTAAGAGTGAAGTTGATGATCAATCAATATTCTTGCGGGGAAGTCGGCAGTTATAAGTTTCTAAATAAGCTTAATCAATTCAAATCAGCCTAGCATAGGATTGATCCGTTCTTCACCCGCTTTACTTAACCGTGATTACAGTACCACGAGGAATGAACGCCACCTCGTATAACTACTTTCAATAGTACAAGCCATGACGCAGTACCATCATCACTGCCCTTGAGAAAACCTCAGCTGAAAAGGAATGCCTAGTGGTGATCCATACCGAAGAGCTGATTTGCCAATTTTAGAGCACGCGGTTTCAGGGCAAGACGCCTCATTTTGGGCCGCTTTGCGCTATGATCTGCAAGGACCATTCCAGACCCGCCCATTTTTACGTTGAGCTTGACGCTGTATGCAGGAGAAGATGTAAATACGTAATAGATTCTCTGAGCTGAAAAGTTGATTGAAAGGAGGCATGGGATCGATGCAACAGTCAGCTGATGGCTCGTCGGGAAGGATACCGTCTTGACACATCAGGTCAGCTTACTGGCTTTTCTAAAGAGACAATGCGGTAGTAATAAATGCCACCTATTGGGCCAACTTTCCGTTTAATACCGCTGTAAAATTACGGAGGATCGGACGACAAAGCCGATAGTCCGATGCCACCTGAGATCCTCGACAACAAGAGTGAAACACTACATGCTGAGAAACTGTCCAAAGATTACACAAGGAGCCACAAACACATCACAATTTCTTTCTATTCATCTATTCCATCAACAGAACCCTTTTACATTATATGCCTTCTGCTACCATAGGCCTGCTAGTGAGCTTCGAAGTGTTCTGACTCCAGTGGTAAGATCTCGAGGTCTCTTCCAAGGTCTATCTTAAGAGAAAGAAAATATGGGCTTATTCCTTCCCTGTACAAGATACAAGAGGCTGGTGCCTGATTATTGCGAGAATCACTTTTCCCCATTCTTCGTGCTTGTTGCCTAAAGTCTATTAGAGAATCAAGGTTCTGCCAATCCCCTGGCTCGTTATATCTTGTTTTGATATGATAAGCTTTGCCAGGTTTACCAAAACCTATAAAACCAGCCAGTAGGAAGACGGTGAGCACAAATGAGCTCTTTTTGCCTTGGCTTCCGAAGCTTTTTGACATTGGCATTAGCCAGTATGCGGGCTGGGTCGGGGCTAAATTGAATGCAGACATCCTTCCCCTTGAGATGGAGATTAGTGGCACAAGCAGTGCAATAGTTTTCACATAAGGCTAAATGTCGAGGGGCTTTCTTTTGCCAAATGTCGATGATTTTATCCCAAGGTTTCTTTGAGAAGATCCCCGGCGCGTCGGGAGGAGAGGATTGGCATGCCGCAGCAGCAACTGTTGTCTGAGTCCAGGGGTAATCGCTCGAATTTGCGGTTGAGCCACTCCGGCGTATTTTAGTCATTCGGAAGTCTCCAGTCTCTCTCCTTCGCCAGGCTTCTGAGCGATAGCACTAGATCGACTTCTCTTCCGCCTCAGAAATTTGACGAAGTACTTCTACGCCGTGATACGTTGCTCTTTTTATCGTGAGCATTGCGGTATCGCAAGAGAGGTTGATGGCGAGTTCGTCGAAGCTCGAGCTTCCGTTGCGTTTCGAAGGTTCTCAAGTAGTTTGCGAGCGAATCGTCGAGTTTGCCAGCAGTTTTCCCGGTAGAGGTGTGCATCTGGCTTGTTGTGGCATTTGGGTTAGTCTTCGCAGACTCGCACATCTTGACGAGCGGTGTTTCTTTGCGTTATAATAGCGACAATGCGCTTTTTACGAGCTCCTGTATTCTCTAGTGGTGAAGTTTGTTGAAAATAATTTGGACTGCCACCGAGGTTCCAGAGAGTGGCAGGGACTCTCTCGGCTCCTTCGCAGGCACTTCCGACGTCCTTTTTATCGACACCAGACCATTTACCCGGCCAATGTCTCTGTTCTCCAAGAATATCTACAAGGTTAACCTCAAAATAAAGACATGATATGCTCAGTCTATTGATCTCTAGCCCATCGTGCAAAGCCGTAGTCATAAGAATAGCAGATTGTGACTCCTTTGTGGCAATTCTTAGTTCAGAGTGGCAACCGAGAGTTGAGCACATTGAGCAGCATTTAGGACGTAGTCACGAAGATCCAAAATGAGCACTGCTCTTCGGCATCAACTTTGCCAGTACTTCACTCTGTACCCTCTCTGCAGCATGGTCCCGTAAGCTTGTCGGCAGTGTAATCCATCCTGCATCCGTCCACATAGCGATTAAATGGGTGGCTGCCTCCTTACTGACGCCTATGAGAAGGTGCAATAGCCTTATAAGGTCTGGTATCCAAGATCTAATGTCTGGCGACGGTTCACCATGCGCGCCGTGGCCTGGCGGTCACGGTGAACATGTTTTTTTCCTCTCATGTCTTGGGATAAAACTCTATTTTACCGTTCCCAAGTTCGAAAACAGAACCACCATGTCGCCAGTTTGTCGTAACACAATCGTCGCAGTCAATCGGGTTATAGGTCGAATGGCGCCGTAAGTGATTATTTTGCGACGCTTCAAAACCGTAGACAAATGGTCACGGTAGGCATGTCTTTTCTTCTCTTTTTCGCCTTGGGCCTTGAGATGAAACTCTGTTTCATGGTTCTTCAGTCTGAGAACCATACTATTGCTGTTACTCTGCCGTACTTGGTGTCACGAATTCATATATAGGTGGAGTTATGTAGTACCCCTCTGTCTGGCGACGCTTCACCATGCACTGCTGTGGCCTGGCGGTCACAGCGCATGTTTTTTTTTTTCTTTTGTAACTTTTTATCTCCCTTTCAAATGAGCTCCATCCTCAGACCTTCTGTTCGAGTCCCGCCTATATCTCTATATCTAATTCTTCTACACGCACCAATTGCTGAACAGTGAACATGCATTTCTGTTCAATGCTTGAAAGGCCAACGATAGTCTATTAGTCTTATAGTGTAGTTACTTAAGAGCAGTAATAGGCCATTATTTTGCTTGTGTAAGCACTTCACGTTTTGCTAGTGACCCAGTACTCCTTGTACTTTATTATTTCATTGCCATTTCACCAAGCATGCCGCTTCGGTGGAGACATGCAGTCGGAGTGGTGCCCGCTAGAGCCGTCTTCCGCCCGCGCTTGGCGATCTTCCCCACGATGTGAGTCACGTGAAACCCGAAGATATCCAGCCCACCATTTTTTCTTCGACCACCTCTGAACTCACTCCCTTTTCATTTCTCAACTTGCCATCTGACGAAATTTGCTCAGAGTTTTGTCGCGCGTAATGAACACCACTGCGCTGCTAGTCCTATAAGCCACATGTGGCCCATCACCCGCGCCCTTCTCCGTTCCTTCCCCTGATGTCGCTCGTTTTCCCAGCTCTCAACGCAGGAAGGAGCAGATACCACAACGAAACAAAGCGCGCTCCACCGCCTTCCCACGGTATGATTGTCCATACCTTTATAAACCAAAAACGCAGACATCCTTTCAACAATTACCGGAGCGGTGGCTGGGTGGTTAAAGCATGGTGAAGCGTTAGCCAGACGTCGACACCAAAGTCCGCCGGTTCGACTCCGGTCCGTTCTGTCTGGGTGGGAGTTGCAGACACGGTAATTGTCCCCTGGGACCACTCAGGGGTAAACCTGTTCGCTCAGCGTTCAGGGGGGATTAGTAGGCACGCCCAGTGCTTTGCGAACCTTTTTTTGCTGTGAATGGCTTCAGAAAGGGCGCAACCACAAGCAGAGGGTTCCCCCTTTTTGTTCTTGTGTAATTGACAAAAGTGATGTTGAATGGCTTGAGATATGGTCAGTCTGATTTTGGAACCCCTAATTGCCAAGTTGCGTTGTCGTGGCGCTGTTCTTTGACTCGATCCTCAATACCCCTAAATCTGGGTGATGCGGTTGATGCGACAAACCAGATGCCATGGAGAACACATGCTTCCCCAACGTTTCGAAAATTCAAAAATTCGCTTCAAATGCTTCTCAGGTAGTCAATCTCAATCATAGAAACGTCAAATAAGACATGAACCCACCGTAGATCGAGTTATGGATGCTACAAGTTTCGTCCCTGGAACTACAGCCTACCAGCTTGGAACTCGACATGTTCCCAGCCAACTGCTCTCATGCCGCCACTTCAGGCTACAAGGGAAACCCTTTTATGCTTCAATCATCAGAATCGGCGCATACTCATGCTCATGCTCACTCAGCTGAGGCTGCGAAAAGACCACAGAATCATCAACATACACCATGAAGATTAATAAGCCAAATGATGCAGTTAACTTGGGGGTGACCGTGGCCTATAAGGTTATACTTTAGGCTGCAAACACAGATAATGGATGACAACATGATATCTTTTTTCTCGATATAAGCTTTTACTCATAAGCCTTCACGAGAACTCCAGTGTATTGCAAAGGAAGAGATCAAGAGGTATATAAAGGACATGACCTCGAGTTAGTGATACAGTTTAAAAAACACGAGGTCTAATCTCCAAGATATAGTCGTTTATATACTAGACTACACTAAAACAACTTATACTAGACTATTGGACGACCGCGTCTATTCTAAGCGCAACCCCAATCTCCCCATCACCATCCCCACCCTCAACCGCGCCAAAGCCAAGCCAATCCCTCGTAAACAAATACGTCCAGGCCTATCAGATCGAATGCGATCCCGACCATCCGGGTCAATAGTTCCATTTCTGCACATCAATGACGTCTGTGGTAGTAGTCAGCACTAGCTAGTCCATTCATCTTCCATCCACGGAACACACGGCTCCAATTAACTTTCGGTAGTCAGCACGATGCAGCCTCACTGAGGGGAACATATAACATCTCACCATGCCCACTTCTTCTCAGACCAATTGTCTATACTCAATTTCTTATAATGGCGCTTTTAAAGCCTCTTGTCCTTTTGGGACTACTGCAGTTTGTTAACGCTGCGGCCACGAAAACTTCTGCCCCGAAGATAAGCTGGGGATGTCCGACTGGAATTCCAGCTGGTGTTGATTGTGGAAGTATCAAGGTCCCTCTTGCGTACCAGAGCGGTAATTCTACGTCTGCCAAGGGAGATGATACAGTTGATTTGGTTTTCACGCGCTTGAACCATACTGGCATAGGCGAGAAACGTGGTATTCTGTTCTTCAACACTGGTGGACCTGGGGCATCTGGTGCCGTCACGGTCGCTGGATCACCATACGTCCGGCAGCTCTCTTTCTCAGTTGAACTTCGAAATGCCTATGATATCATCGGCCTTGATCCCCGTGGTGTTGGCGTAAGCAGTCCTGTGAGATGCGATCCCAAGGTCTTCAACAAAAGGGTCAAGACTTTCGTTACTACGGATAAAGAGTACGCTGCGTTATTCAACTACAGTCGAAGCGTGGGTGAGAGCTGTGCTAAACTCACTGGTCCTCTCATCAAACATCTCGATTCCGTCCATGTTGCAAAGGACCATGAAATCGTGCGCAAAGCTCTGGGTTCTGAAAAGTTCAACTATCTTGGCCTCTCATACGGTACACTCCTCGGTGCAACATACGCATCTCTATTCCCCAAATCCGTGGGTCGTATGGCTCTCGACGCAAACGTGGACCACTCCCAGTCCGAGATAGCAACTCTCCTCGCAGAAGCAACCGCCTACGAGACAGTCCTCGACCAATTCTTCAAATGGTGTGATAGGAACTCAACATGCGCGCTTCACGGGAAGAATGCCAGCCGCGTCTGGGATGAAACCCTCGCTCGCGCTGATTCCAAAGCCATTCCTGCACCTGGTTGCAAGGGGACATGTCGCTCTGACGTGACCGGTGAAGAAATTCGATACAACGCACAAGAGTTTCTTAGCTTTGTTGATCTGAACCTTGGGGGCGGGTCTAGCTGGGTCGGTCTCGGAAATGCTATTCTTCAAGCCAGCAAAGGAAACGCCACTGCGCTGTCGACATCAACTCCCAATGATACAATTGTCGATGATCCGAGTGGTTCTCCATATAGTTACCTTGCCATCGGATGTCAAGATTGGTTGCACAAGTCCAAGACGTCAGTAGACTTGCGCCAGAAGCTCACCAACGCGGTGACGTTTGCGCCAAGAACAAGGGGTGCCACGCAGACGTATTACTATGAGAGTACATGCATCGGCTGGCCTGCACCGTTGACAAATCCACAAGGACCTTTGGCAGCTGGTATCAAGAACGCCCCTACTATTCTGATTGCGGCTTCGGTGTATGATCCTGAGACGAGTCTTACCTGGGCTGAGGGGGTGAGAGAGCAGTTGACGCGTAGAGTGAGTATTACGAGGAATGGAGCTGGGCATACGAGTCACTACCTTAAGGGTGATACTAGGAAGGCTATTGACAGATATTTGGCCACTGGAAAGCTGCCTAAAGATGGTACAGTTTACAAGACTTGAGTTTCAGGCAACGTCTGAACAGCTTTGATGTATTGGTCAGATGGTATTAATAATGATGGATCTGTGGTGATCGGATGTATTTAATTCTGACATATCTCTTCAGCACCATATTTCTACATATCTATCGTGATATACAGATACATGCAGCAACTGTGTGACGACTGAGATCAACAATGTCCCGCCTATGCTTTTGTGTATTCAGGCAAGATGCAAGTGCCTCTACTTGAGGCTGTTGCTATTAATAGCACCGAAGACTGCATGTCCGCGACGTACGTATGTCGTTAGTCAAACTGCCCCCCAGACGAACTGGGCTAACCTGGGGGAGCCCTCCCTGCATCAGATCGCCCATCTAGCTCCTTAGTTCAGCCCTACAGACTGGCGTCATCCTTGAGGGCGCTACAGTGAACTCTTGAAAGGCCGTCACAGTACGGAGTAAAAGTTTCACTTTGTCGCCACGGTCATGTCCCTCGACACAGAAGCGAGGGACCGAGCCGAGGTTCGTAGCACAAAGAAAATCCTTCGCAATATCTTCATTTCCAATCTCCGAGCGCATTTCAAAGCACGTATCACATCTTTGTAATGGAACCAGAAAATCTCAATCCGTGTAACAGAGGATCCACAGTCCGGCCTCGGTATCCCACCAACTCCGAGAAAAGCGGGTTTCAACTTTTCGCCGGCGCCGATGTGATTACGTGAGCGGCTGATGTGATCGCGTCGCACAGCGAGCAAATAGCTTCACTTATAAGTCGGGAGGGTTGCCCCAAGCCATTCCCTATACAGTCCCATCCATCAGATATCATCTTACACACCATCAATATGACAAAGTTCAAGGTTACAGTTACTTCCGACACCGTCTGCCCTTGGTGCTATGTCGGTCGCAGACAGCTCCAGGCTGCCCAGCGTCTGTGGGAGCAGAAGTACCCCGACTCAAACGACACTTTCGACATCAGCTACAAGCCCTTCCAGCTAGCGCCTGATTGGGCCCGAGGTCCTGCGTCGAGCATCTCCAAAGAAAAGTTTTACCTTGAGAAATTTGGAAGAGACCGCGTCGTCAAGATGCACCAACATTTGAAGGGTGTCGGAGAGTCCCTGGGAATCGACTTCAAGTTCGGAGGACAGACAGGAAACTCGAGAGATTCGCACCGACTAGTACAGCTTGCCAAGAAGCATGGCCAGGATGCCGAGAGCAAGGCGCTCGATGGTCTTTTCGCTGCGTACTTTGAGAAGAACGACGACATTACCAGCTACGACACTTTGAGAAACGTGGCTGTCGAAGCAGGAATCCCCGAGGATGAGTTCCAGAAGGCTATTGTGGATAGCGACCAGGGTGGCCCAGAGGTTGACAAGCTCGCGGGCGAGGCACGATACAGTGGTGTCAGTGGTGTACCCGACTTTGTTCTTCAGGACCGGTTCCGACTCAGTGGCGCCAACGATCCGTCGACATTTGTGAGCGTTTGGGAGAAGATCAAGGCGGCTGAGCTGTGATCGGATTGATCATTGGAGGGGATCAGATCAATCGCTTGGGGTGGTCAGATTGAAACAAGACCTCTGTGCGCTTCTCGAGAACGTCGTTCCAGAGGTGTTGGCCTTGAAAGCCAGGGACATAGAATAGTAATCCGATTTCCTGACTCGTCCACCAACTAGCCCTGTCCATATTGCCTGAGCCCAGTACTAGATACTCGTCGTCAACTAAAGTCATCTTGAAGTGACTAACGACAGGTTCGTCTTCTTGGTCGCGTCTGGCGTCGAGCTGCTTGTAATAGAAGATCTCCAGCTTGCCCGGTGTAGGCGATTGTGCTTCGGGATCCGATGATCGTGGCTGATTGACAAGAGCATTGTATCGCTGTATAAACTTGCGCAAACACCAGGATGTCGTTGTGCCAGCCGTGACTAGCTGCTCGATCAGCATCATACCCTTGCTGGTTCTGATCTGAACATCGACTCCACGCGCGAGCGCATCCAACAGACTCTCCACGACCGGCCACGAGGTGACGTTCGGTGTGAGGATGGTGATCCGGCGCTGTGCGTTGCTGAACAGTGTAAGTAGTGCTGCATTCAGAGGCGTCATTGGCGGATTTGTCTGCGATAGGAATGGGAAGAAGGAAAAGCGAGGGTTCCGATGATGCGGTGAAGGGAGAAAGATGGTCGGAACTATGCCACTGGCTGGGAAGTCAATGGACTGCGTTGCCGACGCTTCACTGTTGGCCTGTAGTTGATTTGGCGCTCTTTGATCGATTTGCAAATCTACTTGCGAGCAAGATGGTCGTGGAGGTTCATCATTGTGACCCCAAACCCGATCATAAAAGGCCAAAAGACGGTCAACAATGGCACCCTCGACCTCGACGCAACCTTCGAACCATCGCTCCCAGCTGACGTTACAGCTTGGGACCCAGGCCCTCTTTCCGTCGACGATCACAAACTTGGGGTGCATAACGCTTAGTGGTGTGAAGAAGATGCTCTTGACAGTAAGGTCGATATTGGCATTCTGCAGCAATTGCTGGTCGGGGAGGCCCAGCTTGAACCATTTCGATGCATCGTAGACATATCCCTCTCGAGATGCAGGGTGGAAGAGCTTCTGGAACAGTCCAAATGATGAGAAGCCTATTGTAACACGCAGAGGTTCCTTGACGTTGGCTTCAATACGCGCCGTCGCAAGCTTCTCGAATGTGTCGCGGATGGCGTCCAGAGATGGTGAAGCAGCCCAGTAACAGGTGACCAATTGAACCGAGTGTTTGGCGCTGAGAATTGCTGGTAGAAGAGCGCGCGTGTATATAGAGTGGCCTGTTCCAACGTATAATGTCTTGGGTGAACTGGTGGTGATGAGGGAGTCGATATTATTGACGTAGTAGCTTGGAAAGTCATCTTGTTGCTCGTCGCGTCGCGATTGAAGGAGCTCTTTCCATGGCCGGACAAATGATTGCGGGAACTCTGTTGCTTCCGCCATTATAATTACTTTTTATTAAGAGATAGAGTTAATTATGTTGTGTTAAGGTTAAGTTATAATATAAACGGGAAGAGGTGAAGATGAGATGAGAAGGTTGGCGGCCTAGGAAGAGAAAACTTAGGACCTCTATCCTAAGTGACAGAATAACTTAGGTAGTTTAGCCTAAGATTAGGAGACTCTCTACAGAATTTATTTTGGCATCCTCTTCTAAAGTCTTATGTTTTCTTGCTGCTTGAGGGGCGCAGCTGATGACGCGGAGAACTTCGGCGATGCCAAGCAATCCACTTTATACAAGGTTGAAGACTCCGGGGGAACTATCCAGTAGAGCTAGATTTGAGGTACAACTGTGATCAAAACGTGAATAACGGTCTAGCTAACAAAGATGTAAGTAAAATAGTGTGTAGAGTTCAATGGTTCAAAGTTGACGCGCTGTTCCGCAACTTTCAGTGGGTTCATTCACCGGTTCCAACGGGATACAGCGTTAATCAATGTGCAGCAAACACATGCCAGCACGACAAACAGCGCAGTAAAGATAAAATCTACTGAAACCAACAAAAATACATCGTTAAGCAAACGACATTCATTCAATTGACACTCATCTCTATGACCCGCGGCTTTAGTAATCTCCACGACTCGCTCACCGCCTTCAAGCTCCCTGGCAGAATCCCCCACCACGGACCGACACCTCCTATCTTCCCATGGCGCTCCAACAGACTTTCCATCACCCAAACCCAATCACCCTCAAATCGCGACCATGTTGTCAGGCGTTCTGGTCTTCAATCAAAAGGGCGAGAACCTTATCTTCCGCGCCTTCCGGAACGACTGTCGTCCTCGCCTCGCAGACGTCTTTCGCATCCAGGTCATCTCCAACGCCCAAGTCCGATCACCAATCCTCACCCTTGGAAGCACAACGTTCAGCCATGTCAAGCATGAGAATATCTACCTGGTCGCTATCACAAAGAGCAATGCCAATGCTGCTCTCGTGTTTGAGTTTCTCTACAGGCTGATTCAGCTCGGCAAGGGTTACTTTGGAAAGTTTGATGAGGAGGCTGTCAAGAATAACTTTGTCTTGGTATATGAGCTCCTAGACGGTATGTTTTTCTACGGCCATCCTGCAATGCAACGGCGCTGACGTTCTTAGAAATTATCGACTTTGGATACCCTCAAAATACAGAAACCGACACCCTCAAGATGTACATCACCACCGAAGGCGTCAAGTCCGAGGCCCGCTCCGAAAACACCTCCAAGATCACGATGCAAGCCACCGGAGCCCTCTCCTGGCGCAAAGCAGACGTAAAGTACCGTAAGAATGAGGCTTTCGTCGACGTGATCGAGGACGTCAACCTGCTCATGTCTGCCACCGGCGCTGTCCTGCGCGCAGACGTTACGGGCCAGATTATTATGCGCGCTTACCTTTCCGGCACGCCCGAGTGTAAATTTGGCCTCAACGATCGTCTACTTCTCGATAACGACGGCTTGCTGAGCCTCCCGAGCGGAAATAAGATGGGTACAAAGGCGACAAAAGCAGCTGCTGGTAGTGTCACTCTTGAGGATTGTCAATTCCACCAGTGTGTTAAGCTGGGTAAATTCGACGCCGACCGTATCATTAGCTTTGTTCCTCCCGATGGCGAATTCGAGCTTATGCGATACCGCGCCACTGAGAACGTCAACCTTCCTTTCAAAGTGCACGCCATCGTCAACGAAGTCGGTCGATCAAAGGTGGAATACAGTATCGGTGTCAAGGCCAACTTCGGCTCCAAGCTCTTCGCCACAAACGTCGTCGTCAAGATCCCCACGCCTCTGAACACCGCAAAGATCACCGAGCGCTGCACGCAGGGCAAGGCCAAGTACGAGCCTAGCGAGAACAACATCGTGTGGAAGATTGGTCGCTTCACCGGTCAGAGCGAGTACGTCCTCAGCGCCGAGGCTATCTTGACAAGCATGACGAACCAGCGCGCGTGGAGTCGGCCACCGCTGAGCATGAACTTTAGCTTGCTCATGTTTACGAGTTCGGGACTGTTGGTACGATATCTCAAGGTGTTTGAGAAGAGTAATTATTCGAGCGTCAAGTGGGTGCGGTACATGACGAGAGCAGGATCATACGAAATAAGGTGAGTTCTCCTATCCTGATTGACAAAACACAGCTGACAGGACAGATTTTAAATGCATATAAGTGGTAGAACATGTACGGCGTTATGGTATATCCCGGCAAAAGTCGAGCGGGCGGTTTCTTTAGCATCAAACCATTATCCTATTTCTGTCCCTTCGTGATCACTCATCCTCAACTACCAAGACTCTGACACCTTGAAACTTTCCTCTATCTTCGCCCTCCTGTTGACTCTTGATCGCAGTATCGATCAAGCTTGCGAAGATGTACGATGGATGTTCCTCCTCCCATCCCAGCGCCGAAAGGTTCCGCGCTTCGACGTAGCGTCTCGAAAATGCATGCACGATATCCCCAGGTCTCTCCTGATCATCCGTATTCTTCGTCCGCAGACCTTTCCAAAGAGCATCTGGTCTGCGTATCTCGCTCATCTTGACGTTCTGTCTACTGCACTGTTTACACCTCCCTGTGCACTCATCCACAAGGTACAACACCTCCAGGCCCTTCTGGATCGTGCAAGCGAAGAATGCAACCTCTTCAAGCCCTAGCTCGCCGTACAACCCTGTCGCCCACGTTTCGGAAACGTCGATTGCGACCTTGTTCGCATTCTGTAATGCCGTGGCTATTTCCGGTGACCATTGGTTCTCGAGGATGTCTTTGATTGGCGGTGGTACGAGGAGCGTTTCCGTAGCGAGGTCGTTGTGGTCGGATGGCTCCTCTCGAAAGCGAAGCATGAGAACGTCGGATGCAGGGATGGAGACCTTTTGAGCTCTGCCGGGGAGTTGGATCTCGTTCATATCTTGTCTTGCTTCTAATTCCCTGACGGTTTGTTCGGCGAGACGGCTGATCAGCCTCGATGTGGCTGTTGCATGGTACACACTTGGGTCGAATGCGGCCTTTGACCTGACGTTCTCGAGTCGGTCGAGGAATACCATCTTTTTGTAGTTGTTGAGCTTGGCTTCTCCTGCTTTGTCCTTCCTCTGCGTCTCGAAAGCTCTTCCAGCACGCTCGTCGCCCTTCCATGAAGGAAAGCAAACGTCAAAGATGTGCATAGCTGGTCCGGGGTGCGTGTAAGTCTGCCATATCTTCATCTGCAACTCCAGCGGGAGATTTCCAAAGTGTTTGAAAGACATTTCGACGCACAACTATGCAAAGCTTGCGGGGAGCAATTGTCTTCATTCATCCTCCGTAGTAACATCTCGTTCTTTTTGTATTTGGTGGTGTTCTGACCACCAACCGGGATATATCACGTCAGCCAGTCTCAGCGCTAACAGAGTAGATGATATGAATGGGCAGTAATATATTAAGGCTGATCTGAGATTTTGAGTCTTGACAAATGAAGCCGTCAAATACAAATACTGTACGAAAATATTACGTGTGCCGAGGATATTTGTGTTTGGTACCCTACACACTGAGACACAGATGTTGGATCGTGAGATGAGATGTCAGCAACTTCAATCTTATCAGCGCTTAATACCAAGTGTGTTGGTGACACGTATTTGTATTGTGTCGCTCTTGGCTGCTCCGTCATCACAACGTATCGCAGTACTGTCAAGATCTGAGGGGCCTGGGAATGTCGCAGCAGCCTTGTTCCTGTCACTCGTCTCCAGAGTGATCAAGCTACGTTCCTCTTCTTCGAATGACCGAGTTTGTGCTTCCTCCTCGTACTTCGAACGTTGTGTAAGTCGTCCAGCCATGCCTCCTACACCTTGAATATGCAGGTGAGATCGATACAGCCCACGAGTGATGGCCCTCCGGGGCGTAGACCTCCAGGTCCTTGAAAGCTGCTGAGGCTGTCGACAGACCTTAACTGGCTTTGTATGTTCCACCGGCCCTTATTATTGGTGTTTCGACTAACTTGATCGTCTTCTATCTCTGATTCAACCTTATTTGCCTCGTGTCAAGTGGTGATTTCCTTGACTCCAGGCCAAAGTAACACCCTCAATCAGTCTTTCGTAAGTTCCATATTGGTCCTCAGGATCGGCAAGGTTCGTTTGAAGTCGACTGCTCAACGCTTGGGAGTATAGGAGTGACTGTGCAGCAATATTCGGGGACCAAGTCATAGCTACTGAGACATCGCGTGTCTCTGACTTATCAGGATGTAGCAGTAGAGACGGCGAGTGAGTGTTCTTAACACCTTCCTGATCCGGTCTGCCAACGTCTCAAGTACCCGGATGTGTTAGTCAACATAGACGGCGCGAGGTCTGCAGGACGAGCTCGTGAATGCGTTTGCGACTTGCCAAATACATCACTCAGAGAATGCTCCGAGGATTATGAACTTGTGCGTTTGATCTTGTAGTCGATCTTTCTCCAGCTCTACTGATTGTCAAGGCCAGAGTCGACTGCTTCCTGCCAGTGTCAATACCTCGAATGACGACAAATTTGTTGACAAGTTCTATCAGCCTCTGAGGAACAGAGAAGCTGTCGGGAGGCACAGCGGTACTGGAGCGGTAGTTGTAGAATATCCTTGTCTCGATGATCAGACTTCGCTTGGACGTCCTCGGGGAGCCGGAGGTGGGATCCGGTGGACTCCAGTGGGAGGGTGTTGCAGAGGATCGCTCGCAGTAGCATATAGAGTGATAATATCCTTGTATGGTGGATAAATAGCTCTTACGGCGCTGTCAGGGAGCTATGTTTCCATGATGTTTGAGCTTGTGTAAGGATGTGGTGTTGAGACAACCTGTTGCAACGTGGTCGGAGGAACTCAGCCATTGGCGAACATCAGACCATTCCTCGGAACCTCGAGTATCCTCAGATAACTAATCACGATCCTACGATCCTCGGAATCGCGTGGTTGGTGTTCTAGAATTGCGGTTGTATCGTGGCCATGAGGCTGGATGTGATACAGACGGTAGCAATATTCAGCCTCAGCAACTAGCTCTGCGCCCTTAATCCAACTCGCCCATAAGTAACATTCACTGATCACCGATACTATCTTTATGCCTTCCTGTTATCATTGCGTGATCCTTTCGCATAGACCTCGTATAGGACTACACTTCTGAACTCCGATCTAGACCAGACACTTAGCAAGACAAACGTCATAAGGCATGCAACTCCATTTTTTATATTCTCCGACGGATGTTTAGTCTCGATATATAAGCGCTGACTAGTTAACCCTTCTATCTATCTGCCAAAACAGTTCCGCACCCCCGAGGCGATATATCTCCCAGCCGCGGAATAATGGCCTCAAAGACAAGACCCTGACCACACCTATATCGGCATTCGATCTGCTTGATTGGCCGTGTCTTCGGCTATAAACCCACGCTGATACAGAAATTCCCGTGCCCCAACCAACATGTTCAGGGCAACACAACCACGAGAAAGCCATGTGTTTAGTGAGACCTGAGTAAGCCCCCCCAGACTCCAGAGCATCTGGGTCTTGCTAGCTTCCGCCCAAAGCTACGACTTTAAACGAATCTTGCTTTTCCGCGGGATATAGTTACATCGGCTGTTAATTAACCCGCCAGGAATCGTACCATTCTGAAATAATAAGTCAAGGGTTGGAGGAGCAATCGCTCCTGGTGGATGGTAAAGCCGAGAAATGTTAAACGCCACGAGATTTCCACGAGGATCGCCGTGTGAAACTAGCCAATTTAATTTAGTTAGTGGTCGTGTCACTCTTGGGCATCAACGGGGTCATTTCCTCGATAAGGTAGAGTTGATCACTCCTATTTGCGGAAAACCCTCGCGTCTAACTCTCAACGCCGAACAAACTGGGCCGTTAGCCTCGCTTACAGCTCTCATGAATTAAGATTCGTCGCACCATTACTGTCTAAGCAATGTTCCACCGTTCGCCGGAAGGCATTCCCTCTGGTCTCATTGGTTGTGCTGGCCAGTGCTGAAAAACAGTGCCATGCCTCCTTCAGCCCTATGGGTTGGGTTGGGTTAGGTTGGTGGTTCTGTATTAGCGACGGTCGGGACCCTGCAGTTTGGCCTGGCTCGTGATACGATTGAGTAAAGCATAAAGAGGCCCTCTCGTCTCTGTTTGAGTTTGTCTGGGGTTGAGTGTTGTTAGGCATTAAGTGGTTCATCAATCAGTCGTCCACTGTTTGCACGTGTTGATAGCAGTCCGTCCTTGGCCGTGTTTCTTATACATAAGACTTCCATCTTCCTCAATGGATGGCCTTCTGTTATGCTCTTCTATTATTACTCATCTGATCGAAACATTACTGGTCACATCGATCACGCATACATCTCATCTAGGCCTGCATATCCTTTCTTGTCTTGACCAATAACGGCCTACATAGACTGTGATATTATTCACCAGCACCTCGCTCCCAAGTCCAGCCTGATCTTGCTCTGCTCTGCTCTGCTCTGCACTGCACTGCTCTACAGATCACGTCACCTTGCTTCTTCCAGCAACACCCACTCTCGCCTCCCGATCACGCAGCCAGATCTCTTCTACTCGATCGTATTCCTTAGCAGCTGAAGCACCCTCCCGAGACATACATACATGTGTACCACAGACAATGTGTATCGCCCACTACCTCCACTACCACCATGTGCCCCCGTGTTCCCGCCCAATAGGCCTGAACTACTACTACTCGTATTGCGCGGCTGCTTACTACGACCCCGTCACCAGCCGACCCCTCGCACCGTGTGGCAGCGTCTCGACCAGCTCTCCCCGCGGAGACCCCAACGACCCATGTACCATGAGCCAGTGTCTAATTGATCCGGGCTGTCGCTCTGGAGCATGTCGACTCGCTGATCTTAACGGCCAGTGGAAGTGCTGCATGTGTGGGAGGCGGGAGAACTTTGACTACCAGTGCTTCAATGCTCGATCTGCAGATGTAAGGATGTACTGCACGCATCAGGTTTGCGAGAACTGCACAGCCGACGAAAATTGACAAGGCGAGACCTTGGGGCCGATATTCTTCGGCCCTCCTCATGGGATTTGAGTTGCAGCTGATGTCTCAGCTGCATATAGTCCGACGCTGTGGATGTCTGCAGGTGTAGCCCAGGAAGCCACATGTGCGAATTCATGCAGGCTACAGCTCATGGCGTATCCATTCCGGCAGGTCTATTATTATCACCTTTATTGTTGTTTTTGCTTTGCTGACTATATGCAGGTTTGATCGTCATGTCGCCAATCTCGGTGATTCGCGAGAGACGATGCATCGACCAACTTCTGCAAAAGAGAACAAGATCATGGGATCAAGGACGATCGAGTAACACTTTTCGGCACGAGTATCAATAGCCGATTGAGGTTTCACAGTACGGTACATTCCGAGGTCGCCTTGTCATGTCATGACTGAGGAGATACTGTTTCCTCTTACGATATATCACAAACTCGCGGTCATGGTGGAATCATACTCGTCAGCTATACTACAACCCCCAAGCCGACTTGCCATACTTTCCGAGCTCCTAACTCCGCCCGCCTGGCACCGATACTCATGAGTCTCTCGAGATCTTTGCAGCCATGTCCGCCCTCGGGTTCTATCGCGGTTGGAGTTGCGCTGGTGGCATCTTGATGAAAGGGCAAGGAGAGCCGGTTGAGAAATAGATCGGAAACAAAAGCTGGAAGATATTGAGATACATAAAACCCATTATCTCTTGAGCTTTCTCCTACGAGTCGTGAGATGCAGTCGCCATCGCAACAAAGCAATGTCAGCAGCTACTACAAGTCCAAGTCGAAAACTCGTACAGAAACTCAAACATCATGTGCCATCGAATCACTTTCCGTCTCGCATGCGAGCATGTCTCAACGCACATAAGTTACTGTCCAGTCGGCCTCTCTCACCGCCGCCCCTGCAGCAACACGACCAAGCAGACCGTCCCATACCCTCCGCCGTCGGGCTACACGCTGCCCAAGTGTCCACTCGCTGACTGCCCCTTTGAGGCCAAGAACCAGGCCTGGGACTGCTGCTGGTGCGGCAAGACGTGGAATGTCGGTGGGCGGTGCAGTTGTGTCATGATTGGCGAGGGGGGCACGTATCGGTGCGAGCATATCTGCTGCAAGTCGTGTATTGCCTCTAGAGATTATTTCTCCTAACTTGGTATGCGATGCGAGGAGGAAGATACCCTTGGGATGGTGGATCATGAGTCGTTTCTGGAAGGTCGTTTCGTTGGAGATAGTTAGTTGTCAACACGTTTACCACTCTACATACTCTCATATCTCCGCCCAAGTGAGACTTTCTTGTCATGTTCACGTCACCATCTCCTCAACGATGCCCCGTCTGCTCCCATCCTCAAGTCAACAGGCATTATCCCAGTCAATCAGTTCATATCCGCGTCAACTCGGAGACTTGCCTCGTGACCATTGGCTTCACGTCAAGTCCTCCCGAGGCTGACATGTTCTGTTTCACCAGATCACATCGGCCTGCATCAGACCACCAGGGGTCTAAATCGAGATGTGAACAAGGACGGATGGGATGCCTCGATCGCGCTGGGCTCGTAGAAACACAAGATCCTGTGCGTTTTTGTGGGTTGTAGGTGTGAATGTGCTCTCCCTTGGACCGAGTACTCTGTGCCAAGGTCTCCCAGCCAGGCCAACCTCTCCTATTACCAATAGATATCCGGTACACTCAAACATCGTGCTCTTACACCAAGACCGTCGTCACTCTCATCCACACCAGATCAGTAATCGTAAAACCAGAGCACCGGGTTCATCACATCTCATCACCATCGATCTCACAATCTCAATGCTGTGCGGCCACACTATGCCCCTCTACGACAGCCTCGCTACCAGGCTCTCACCTGTGGCGTCCTATAAATGACCTCGAGCCCCGTTACACAGGACCCATCAGATCACACCCCGAGACATTGGGCCATGAAAGTTTTCATGTCTCTCTCTGCCTCATCGGAGACTTGATCATGGAATGCAACGCACACTCCCGATGATGCTGCACTCGCTCGAGGACACGATCGATGGGGCTGCGCCGCTGCAGACGCCTCAGCCCAGAGCGTGCAAATTGTATGGATGGACTCCAGATGTGCATCTCTTGGTCTCTGAGGATGAGAATTGCTTCGCTGATGGGGAGGAACTAGGCCTGCGGTTCCAAAGAGGTCGATCTGTCCAAGGTAGTCAGTCTGGTCGGCTGGCGTATAAATAGTCCCCAAGATGAAGCTATCAGGCCAGGAAGAAATCCTCAGAATAACTGCTTCTCCTGCTTCTATTCTCAGGAACAAAAGACAGACAGTCACAATGTGTCACGGACATCCTCGACACCATCCCTGCGCCCACACATCCATCAACTGGCACTACTGCCCGTCGGCGCTCATCGATCTCGAGACGGGTTATGAGACGCCGTGCAGCAACATCTCGTTCGCGGCGGCCCAGCCCACGACGTCCGACTGCCCGCTCCAGAACTGCGAGTTCAAGAGCAAGGGCGGAAGCTGGACGTGCTGCTCGTGCCAGCAGGGTCCAAACACTCAAGGATGGTGCACGATGCCCATGAGCAGAATGACCATGAACCCCGAGTCGTTCTCGGTCGAGTCAGTTGAGACAACCTGTGATCATGGCTGCTGCAGCAAGTGTGTTCAATACGGTAGGTCCCCTGTATCTCTCGCAGTTTCGGATATAGAACTGACTGACACATTCAGGCTCGAGCCGTGATGCTTCACCTGAGATGACCTTTTCTGAGATACGCAAGGGGTCAGCATCGCGCAAGTTCGGGTACAGCAGCGCCACCAAATCTCATCGTCGCGGATCAGCCTTTTCGCTTCCTGCGTCCGGGGAAGAGTCTACGCCGTCGCCGTCGACGTCAAAGTCGAGTTCCGCAAGCTCGGGATATAAGGTTGGGATGGAGTACACGTCGAGCAAGGCCAAGTCGAGCAAGAAGAGACACAAGAGCAAGCGATGAGTGGTTCCGGCACTGGTAGAGGGAGTGATATGCATACACGAGTGGTATTTGTGTGTGCATCTGGTGGTTGACTGTCATTATTTTGTATTTATGTATCAGCAGAGCGTCGTGTTTCAGTCTCGGCAGCTCATTACATACAATAGACGTGGGTTTCACTCTTTTTATCACCAACTTATCTATCCTCACTTTGAACTTGCTATCACATCATGAAGTCAGGTATCTATCCATCTCTCAACTGTCACCAATCTCAGCTCCGCTCACACAAAGTCGAATAAATAAACTTTCAGGCCAAGCCACAGCCATGCCCGAATCAGTCCACCCTGCGGCCCGAGATGAGATGCGTCCAAGCGAGGGGAAGCTATCGGCTCTTTTTGTCCCCTCCCCTCCCACATCGGAAGAGCCAAAGGCCACGTGCGAAAGAAGCATCCGGTTCCCGTCCTGCACCGTTTATCGTTCGTTCCTTCGTTCGGGGCCCTGATGAAGGAACTGAACTGACACGAGGCGAGACGAGGCGAGACAAGGATTGATGATGATCTGCAAAAGTCTCTTTGGCTTTTGGGCTGAAACATGAGTCGACGGGTCTGGCGATACGCTAGATTGAGATGGCATTCGAGGCCTGGCAATCAATTATCAAGTCGGAATCGTCGGCGGCCTTTACGACTTTCAACTTCTGAAGAAATGTCGACAAGATACTTGATTCAGCTATGATCGTCGGGTTCAATTCCTCCATCTTGAAGCATCATCACTCGTATCCACACGATTATGATGCATGGATAATTAATGTCAAGACCAAAATAGTCAACGCCACCATCAATCAATCAAGAGTCCTACTACTCCGTACCGTCCGTCCTAAATAAGTGCCATTTATTTAGTCAACGGCACCTCCGACGACGCCTCAGACCGACCGAGATGAATCTGGATCTCAAATCTTCAACTAACTAAATCCTCGGATCTCGAACCGACAAGCTTTCTTCTTTGCAACTGCCAGTGAAGATTAAGTCTGACAGTACAACTGTGATGACGGCTCGAGATGCATATCTGGCGTGTGATATCGGAATGGGCTGCCAGGCTACAGCCCAATACGAGATGTGCTATCCTCAGTAAATACCACCCTCCCAAATGTCACAGTCGTAATCCAACAAAACCACGTGTGATATGTATGATCGACATCGCCCATCCCTTCCCCCTCCCATGTGGAAATGACGGAACCAGGCTTGACCATCTCGCTGAAGGCATCGACAACCTCCAAGCCACGCGCAGACACGATCCAATCCCATCGCGTGGCTTCCACGTGAGCTGCCGGCTGTGATGGATGCATCTAGATCAACACATTCCAGTGCAAGATTGTCCAGATTGCCATGAGTTGGTCTCTTGGTGTTTTATCTCACGTAGCATTTTTCGCCCCCCTCCCCCTCCCCTGAGGCCCAGGGAAACATTAACCTGGTGGCCACGAGTTCAAATGCAGACCATACCTACTCTGTAAGCTGCTAAGGTACAGACAGGTTGGGCCTGGGGTATTGTACGACTCCATTCGACGACCCTTGTGTTTTACAGGGCGGGACCGTTTCCAGGGGGCAGTTTCTTCAGTGACTCCATCATCTGTGGCCTGATCCTTGGATGTTTTGAAACGGCGCTTCTTGTTACCATCGCAGTCTAATAGATGAAAATGAAGAAGAAGAAATGTCTGTGTTTTTTTTGCATTATTTTCATTCGATTCTCCATCATCATCATACCATAATTCACTTTCGTCCAGTGCAGTCTAGGCCCCCTCTAACGGGGAGATCCAACCGCCAAAAAATCAACATCCCCCTAAGGTGCTGTACCTCGGGTGCCACACCCCCTGTAGCCGCTGAGACTTGTGCCTGGGCCTTGTGGTGCCTGTGCCTCTTTTCTGCTTTAATCTCCTCTCTTCTCCCCTCTGGCTGGTCCCTTCCCCCTTGCCCTCTTTTTTCTCCCTCTCTTTTTTAGATCTGTCTCCATCTTGATTATCCCTTTCATAATCTGGTTTTTACGTTTCTTCTTTTCTCCATTTTTGACCAGGAAAGAAGAGAAAGTCGTCAAGAAAGAAGCAAAAAGAGACACGGACGCTAATATAATCGACGACAAAGCGCAGTCAATTTAAATTAACTTGGTTGCCTTTACATATAGCTCCGTCCCGTCTTTCACTACCTATCAACTATTACGTCTAGCCAGCCCACTTTCTCATCTTCTCTCTCACTCACTCACTCTCTCTGGCTTCGTCTCTTTCTCCTCTTCTTTCGAAACCTCGTCCCCTCTTACGCGGTTTCATAAATCACCTATAGTACCCGCAACTCACCGTCGCATCAAACATCACCATGCCTGCTTCCTTGGACTCTTCCCGGCCCATCATGGCCCCTTCGGTATGTTATGACCGCTCGGATCTTGTTTTCCTTCTGTCTATCTCTCTCTCTCTTGCGTATGGATTACACCACAGTCCAGTCCCCTCGTCCCCCCCTGTTCAAAGGCTTGGGACTTGTCCCGTCTAGTTCCGCCTCTAGTCTGGTGTCTGCCCACTTTGAGAGTGATGAGTGATGGGACGAACGGGCCGGATGGGTAGAGAGAATGGATGCGGGTGCAGATGCGGATGATCTCGTTCGTTCGTTCGTCTTGTCACTACTCACTTGTTGTCTTTCAACTGAAATGTGACATCTTTGCCTCTCCGGCCGCTTGGTTCAGCCCATACTACCTTACCTTGCTCGTCATCCCTCTTTGTTCGTTCGCAGTGCACATCACTTCCACCTTGATACATTCCCCTGTCGCCTCATCACGTCCCTCAGCCCAGCCAGCATTCTTTTTCCTCGTCCGTCGGTCGTCTCTTTTCTTCCTAAGAAAAAACTACTTCAACCTCGTACATCTCCCACCATGGCTAAGCCGTGGGTCTCGTCGCACGCTCACACCCAGCCCAATCACAACCACAACCGTCAAGCCACCAAGGAAAAGGACCAACCCGCTGACTCTACCTCCAAGAACCGCACCTCGGTCCGCTTCAGCACCTACAGCATGGCTCCTTCGCTGTCTCCCACCGTCGGGACAACCGACTCTGCTCACGCCGAGATCCGCGACATCGCTACCGGCCTCGACCGCATGGAGAACAAGGCTCTCTCCTCCCAGCGCGTCACCCTCACCGACGAGAAGACAGACACCATGAGCAAGCTCGCCCTCGGTGCTAAGCTTGAGCGCGCTCTCGACCGAAGAATGAGCGGCCAGGATGCTGTCATGCGACCTCGTGGCCAGAGCCTCAACGAGAAGCTCAGCGAAAAGGAGTAGACCCAGAAAAAAGAAGAAGAAACAACCCACCAACCAAACCCAACAAACAAAGCAAATGTCTTGCGAATAAGATACCCCCCACACGCAAACGAGAATTCTTCTTTTATCTTTTATTGTCGATATAAATCATCTTGTCTTTCTGGTCTCGATTTCCTCAGCAACGCACGCCTTGGTTCTATCACTTTTTTCGCAAAGGAATGAAACACTGCGCCATGATCAGCCTTCAGGGGGGAATTGGATGGAAATACGAGCCTCAAACTCAGCCTCATCCCCCTAATTATACTCGCCAAGCCCAACCAAGCCGCGGCTCCTTTTTTCACGAATACACACGGCATGCGGGAAGAATCTGGACTACGATCAGCTCTTGTGGACTTCATTTTCTTCTCCTTCTTTTCTTTATGTCTCCTTATTCTGCTTTTTACTCTAATGGCATGCTGCGATGGAAACTCATTGTTCAAGATACGTAGGAATGGCAAGCAACGCATGGAGGAAAGTGATTATCAGGCACGGATAAAGGGGGCTGTTTCGCTTTTGCCATATATCATTTCCCGGGCGCAGCGAGTACGGGGAGGAGGAAATGGGAGTGTATGATTACATTGGATGCATTTGTGATGCCATGTTTTACACACGAGCTATAGTAAATGCCGACAAGAGTCGCCAACTCATTATCGTGATCCTGTTTCTGTTGTGAAAGTGATGGAATGGAATAGGAACAGTAGACTGGCTAAAGGAACCTCAGGGTTGTGTGACTCCATGAAACGTGTTATAGTGATATAAACAAAACTCCTATAGCAACCATTACCAAGCAAAGCATTCCCTTGGTGTAAAAGACATTCCATATGCCAGTGTTGCTGGCATCTCTACTGAGACCAATTCCATCTTGGCCCCAGATCTCGTAGTCAACTCATGTCTCGGGTGAACTGTCAACTCAATCTCACCCCTCTTTATCCCAAACCGCCTCAACCTCGAATCACAGTCAGTGGCTTAGACCATTCATGCCTCCTGCTTCTCAATCCTCTCCTCAAGATCCTTCAACAACTGCACCAACTCTCCTTCTTCACCCTCGACCTCAAGTCCTCTCCTGACCCAATCCCTCGCCTCCTCCAGTCTTCCCATCTCAGCCAAGCACCTTCCCCTCCTCCACCAGGCCTTTGCATTTCCTACCCAGCGCGCCTCAACACTCGCATGGGCATCCACAGCGCCCTCAGCCCAGTTCTGCATCGCCATGTGCGCCTGCGCTCGATTCGCCAGAATTCCGCTGATCTCCTCTCGCACCAACTGGGAGGGCTCCCACATGGGTCGCTGCATGGCCATTTGGAAGCCGAGGGTGTAGTACTTGATCGCCTCGGGGTATTTGCCCTTACGGTATTCGTTGTTGCCGGAGTCGCGAAGCTTGGTCACTTGGGCGGTGCGCTTGGGGTTGACGGGCACGGGGGGAGGGGGTGCGCCTGTGGGTGAGTCGACGTTGAGGAGAGAGCGGTGGAGGGTGTTGAGGGCTTCGAGTTCAGCGTTGAGTGTGCGCGATGGTTGTTGAGAGCTGATGGCCTTGGATTGAGGGTCCATCTGGAGGGGGAGGAGGTCGAAATGTGTGAGGTCCGACATTGTGACGGTGCGCGTTTGTTTTTCTTTCTTTGTGAATTGTCTTATTCTAGGACTTTTTTATAGATGTGAATTGTTCAAAAAGAGTGACCGGTTGGGAGTGTGAGCTGGTAGTGAAAGGTTATGTGCAACTGGGTGTACGGATAGGTAGGTATAGTTTGAGGTGCTGTTCAGGACACCTCACAAAAAGCTTATCTTATCAGCACATGACACCCTTCAGAGCCACCATCCATACCAAGGTACCCTACACGTTGACGGAAGTCTGCATGTAAAAGGGAATACAATTGATCATTAAATGTCTCATTATACTGATGCTTCATATTGCTCTACCTTGATCGTTTTTTTAGGACGTGAATATGTTTATAAAACGAATATGCAGCATGTTATACCGTTCCTGATCCCACATATTGGAATCCGTCAGGGTCCAACACTCATATAATAGCAAGCTGTCAGACCTGCTGGACTAGAGACAGCTACAAGGCGCTATTTAGACAGTCGACATAACTTACAGTAAGGGATCTAGTCTGTCGGTATGCATGAACAAGCTTAGTGGGCGTACATCACATTAAACAATGACATGAAGCACAGGGCTCTGACGTCAACATCAAGACACATTCACATGTAAAACGAATTGATCAAACAAGAGCCTTTCCTTTTCTACTCCTATTGTGCAAATGCGAGACCCTGTCCCCGTTTGGGAAGCGTAACAAGATCACCTCCAAATCGCCATCACTCATAAAACCCGTCCGCCGAACTCTGGCGTCCTTGGATGATCAACTGGAAAAAGACATCAACTTCCGGAACCCTTAAAACGCCTATCAACGAAAAAAGATCCCTATCCATTCATCTAGCCTTATCACAGAGCCCAAGGTTCGAAGGAGTCTCCACACACAAAGTCTCGGTCATCATCATGGTGTTGTTGATTGTCGGTCTCTTGTGCTTTAGTTCCTTCTTGTGAGGGCAGTGCAATTGTGGTTTGACGATTGGGGAGGGATTTTTTTTTCATTTAGAACATTCTTTTTGGGGGGAATCGACATCTACTCCTCGAGCCACCCTTGCCATCACTCAGCAAATCAAGTAAATCCCTTTGTTGAACCGCCGCGCCATTCTAATGAAACGCACGAGAAATGATAGACGTTGCCAAGTTTACCTAGACCGGCAAGATCCCATGTCGAGGGATTTGGCCAGCTTAGTAGCCGTAGTTGGCAAGGGCCTTTGCGGTCTCCTCCTTGACAGTAGCGTTCTTCTTCGCATCAGCCAGTTGTCGGGCAGCGATCTTCTTGCGCTCGTAGAAAGCAGCGCCCTTGGCCTTTCTTCGCTCCTCCAATCTGGGTAGAGTTAGTCATATCCCAAGTCACACACGGCACAGCACAGCAAAACATACCGAGCAACGACGTCCTCGTACTTCCAGCCAACCTCGCTGGACAGACGACCGACAGTGCAGAACTTGCGGCCGGGCTGGAGTCGGAGAACACGGAGAGCCTGGGGAACGACGACCTTCTTGGTCTTGTCGTAGGGAGGGGGGACACCCTCGAAGACCTTGAGGCGCTCGAGAGCAGCAGCACCACGGGCGGTCTTGTGGGGGATCATGCCACGGACAGCCTTGTAGAAGATTCGGGAGGGAGCGCGGAAGTGGAAGGGACCTATATCGAGTCAATGACTGTGGTCAAGTGTGTAGGTGTAGTTTCGACTCACCACCGCGGGTGGGGTTGTAACGGGTGATCTTTCGGAGGTGGGCATGGTACTTGACTGTTGGCATAATCAGCTTGGTGTTCCTAGGAGTGGCATCGCTTTGGTGTTGCCGATGCTCGGCCACAGATCGGATTGGTGTCGTGGGGTGGACATACGCTTCGCACGGAAGAACTCGCCAGAGATGTTGAGAGCCTCGCAGCGGACAATAACGATCTTCTGGCCGCTCAGAAGCTGCTTGGCGACAATGGAGGCGAGTCGGCCAAGGAGGTGGCCCTTGCCATCGATGACGACCTGTTAAACGCACACAACGGTCAGCGAAATGCATCTTCAAGACCAATATTCCCATGTGAAGCAAACGACGAGCAGCGTTCACAGCACCAGCAGGCGCTGACAACTGAGATCCCAAAGCATCCTCAATCCCATTCCAATGCTTCCCGGCTGCCCGCAGCTCGTCTTTTGCCTCAAGTCACAATATGAATTGTGAATGGATGTGTTGTTTCAGTCGGTACTCACAACTTGCTCGAAGCTCGACATCGTAACCGTCTTTTCTGGGGGGAATTAAAGAAAAGGAAAGAAGGGCAGCTCAAATCCTCAAACCGGTCGGCGAAGATCTGTTATTTTGCTGTGCTGCTGGGGTTAGTCGTCCCTCGAATGTTGGGTGCAAGTGGTCGCGATAGTGATTGACGGGCGAAAAATCCAAGGACCGCTTGAGGGCTCGTTGTGCCTTGTGAGCAAACCGCGCTAGCCTATTGGGGCAAAGGCAACCTTTCACCGCGAGCGACTCCTTCCCGCTTAGGTCTGTTAGCCCTAGAGGGTTGAGCCGAGGAATTACCGGCTCGCCCACTGGAAATCATGCAGTTTTTGGGCGTTGGAGCTTAGAATGGTTCGCACGTGATAGAGATCGGTCTGTTCCAAGACATGGCATTGGCACTATCATGGGGGGTTTACATCATAAGTCATGACAGGGATCCATGTCCATGGTGATACTCAAGATTCCAAATTAAATGTGCCAATCTGCTCAATGCTGTCTATGGTGGTCATCATGGTCAAGGCAACGCTTGAATCTATTGTACAGCTTGTTCTATATCAAGAGCAATGGTAAGGTAGTCGAATAATGGATTATTCCCAGTAACGCCTGCACTCAAACCAGACAATCTTTTCCACTCAACATCGACGCCATCGCTTAACCGCGGGCTGGAGATTCCTTTGCAACATCGAGGTCCTTCAACGTCTTTTGGACCTGTCTCACCAATTCCTTCCTTCGCGCTCTGACTTCAGGCATTCCCTCAGCCTCAACGCCGTCCAGTTTCAACATAATGTGCATCATGATGCTCTCAGAAAGTCTTCGGTGCTCTTCCTCTCGCTTCTTGGGGTCTGAAGGTGGCGATTCAATGTAATCGGAGCACAAAGGCAGCCACTTAATTTGGTACTCCACGGCAAGATCATCGAGAACCTTCATAGGTCCGCTGGTTGCGCCCGACGATGTGGGTGGTGCTGGGGGTGATCTGGGGTGGTCAAAAGTAGAAGTGCTGTCTCGGGGGCTGCCTGACAAGGAGTCGCCATCACTGGTGATACCCTTCTTCTTGTCACGCTTCTTCTTGCGGCGGCGAGTCTTCCTGTCTTCTCTAGGAGCATCGACAATCACCATCTCCTCTTCTGAGCCACTGCTGACATCATTAATCTCGGGCATGACCGCCATCAACTCGCTGTTGTTCTTGACACCATAATCTCGTACTGGCGCCATAGGGTCCTTGAGTTGCTTTCCTTTATAGAGGAGCTTGATGCGTGATGTTCCTCGCTCAGGAAGTTCCATCATCAGACCAACCCGGTCCTTGACGTCTATCACCCGCAACTTTCCATCTCCAATCGCATATGCGGGAAAGTGAGCAGGATATGTGATGCCGCGATTCTTGATAAGAAGGACATCGTCTTCTGGAGCTGGTGGGGGTGCAGTCGAGTGAGATCTGGGATGGTATCGCTCCTCGGTGACGCCATCGAGATCTTGAGATGTGATGTAGCTAAAATCGTCGTCGGTGACAGCGGGGACGCCGCTGGGCATAGAACTGTAGGGCGAAATCTGTTCGCGGCCGATGGACCAGCCGTATCTCGACATTGTTAATGGGACGGCGAGCAGGACAGCGAGGCTGCTGTAGACAACGGTAGGAGGTACGCCGAGAGTGTCAGATATGTATCCGCTCGAATCTTGAAAAGCAGACGAGAGGTTAGCCAGCGCCCCGTTGAGGTAGGACGTGACGTTTTGTAAGGCACCGGGAGATGCCACGATTTCTTGGGCGGAATCCACCTTGTTCGACGTTTTCTAAGGTGGTCCAAAAAAGGACACCCTAGAGGCAAATGGGAATACGGGTTGCAGCAATTGACCCAAACCAAGGTCCGAACAGGAGGAGGTCAAAAAGACAGGGCGGTCGGCGATAAAGCTGAGCGACTGGTACTGGTGGTTCTCTGGTGATCGACCCGTGGGCTGATGTGGAGCGATGAGCAAGCAGCAGGACAGAGCCAGGTGGGCTACGCTGCACGACGAACAAGAAGCTTGCGAGGCTTGCAAATGGCAGCAGAAGGCGACGATCAACGACCCTTGGGCCAGGGTCTTCCTAGTGATAGTCGGCAGCGAGCGACAGAGGCTAGAAGGTATCTAACCTGTCTCGTCTTTGCGCGACGAGGCGAGTCGGTAGTGGGGGAGGTCAGATCAAGTGACTCTGGTGATACAAGGCGAGACTGGGCAAACGTGTGTATCGGGCTGGGCTCTATTTGCGGTGCCACTGGTGAGGGGCTTAGGCGTCGGTGCAGCCAGATTAACAGCGTCTCTGTCTTGTTCTGTTCCTTCTTGCAGCCAAGCGTAGGTACCGGTACCGAATCGTGAGTTGATGATGACGGGGGGCCGACGCAATGCAAGAAACCGGGCAGCTTAGGGGATACCTGAAAACTGCAGACGTGAGAGCGGCGATTGGTGGAGATGGGGGCGGAGTACAGCGAAGTACATGTACAAGAGTCGCCCCAAGAAACAAATCGAATGCAAGAAATACACGCTGTAGATTTTGTTTCTTTTCTCTTTGGGAATAGTGAGAGCTTGTGCGTCGTTGCGCCTGTGCTTGTGTCGCCGTTGATGATGGATGGTGAGAAGAAAAAAAAGTCTAGCAAGTCTCGCAAAGGGGAGAGAGGCCAGATTTGGGTTTCTAAATTTGATGATCTGGACCCCTCCATCCACTGGTTTAATCTCAGCCAAGAGCCGCACGGGGAAATGACAACGCCTCTTCCAGGTTCATGGCCTGACAATTGGCAATCGAAACCTGGGGGAATGTGTCAGACTGTTCTAGCGGGAAAGGGTAGGTAATTAAGGGGTCTCAAGCGCTAAGAGTTGAGGTTGTCTCTTCAACTTCAATTTCTGAAGTTATAAATCGAGTATACGGAGTATTGAGAACGAATACCTGGAACTGTCGTGATAAACACAGTATTCGTTATTTTCAAGCTATTCCCGTAAACTTCAACATCCTGTTGGAAGAAACAATGCCAAGTCAGTTAGTTATAAGCTACATCATGAAGTTTGTCAGTGTTTTCATGGTGGGTATTATCCAGAGCCACCTCAGACTTGCCTTAGATCGTTTGATACAAAGTCTGAGCCAATGGCCAAAAAGAACTGGAGTTAGAAACCCGTAAGCTAAGTCACGATCCGTTGTCAGACGATTATTGCTTAAAGCTCCGGCCCCTCTTGAGTGGAGGTTTGAAGATGTTATCATGACTAGTAGAACCGATGGACCACCGTAGACTCTGATTGCTCGAGGAGACTGAAACCCAAGACTATAAAGAAGCCTAAGATCTAACATGTACAGACGGAAATAAATCTAATCCTATTACAGTTCTTCTTATCTGCCTCGATCCTAAACAATGGAAAGGCTTAAGTAAATTAACAAAGTTTGGGGGATGTCCAATTACTCGGGCTCCTTTCTGCTCAAGTGTTTTAGACCTCACCTGTTTAATTATTGCCTTCACTTACCCTATTCCAATTTTCATCCTCAAGTTAATAAGTCATCAAGAACTCCGGTATTAGCAGAGCGCCTGACAAAGGGAAGCCAGATCACCTAAACATTCTTTCAAGCTCAGATTAGTTAACATGTTCCCCATGATGAGTGATTCCTCGGCTTATAATTGCAAGGATTCGTCGGTAGTTGCTCGTTCTCACGCAGCATAAGCACTTACACAAGATGATGAATGAACAACTCTAAACACCAACTGGAATCATCACGTCCTGCTTAAATTATATCTGTCAGTGATTACATTGCAAGACAAATATATCACCAACATTCAGCTGCACAGCCGAGGCGATGATGAATGATTCCAAAAAACATGATTACCTAATCCCGAAATCCCAGTCCATTGCATCATCGCATTTTTCATGGTCGCCGAATTAATTCCACTCAAACGCCCATGACAAAGCAAACTCGCCTTTCACAGCCCAGCATTACAGCCCAGTACAGCCAAATCAACCTCTATCTGACGTAGAATAAATACCTCCACCCCACTTTCCCTTCTCCTACATCAAAGCCATCTCGCTCTCCTCTATGAATTTCTTTAGATCATTCTTCACTCGCGCAACAAGCCCAGGCACAATGGCTCAAGCATCCACCAAGGTTCAGCAGCTCATCGACAACAACTCTGTTGGTACGTTTATCTCTGTTTTGCGCCCCGCGTTGGACCCCTGCTAATGACCCCTCGTAGTTGTCTTCTCCAAGTCTTACTGCCCTTACTGCAAGCAGACCAAGAAGACACTGGATGAGCTTAACGCTGAGTACGAGCTCCTCGAGCTTGACGAAGTTTGTAAGTTTACAGTTCTCAGCCATTGTATCCAATAACGGTCTCTAACGCCTTGTAGCCGACGGTTCTGCCCTCCAGGACGCTCTTGAGCAAATCTCTGGCCAGCGCACTGTACCCAATGTCTACATCAAGCAGCAGCACATTGGCGGCAACTCTGACGTTCAGAGCCTAAAGTCTGGCGGAAAGCTTGCTTCCCTGCTCAAGGAGGCTGGTGCCCTGAAGGCGTAAGAAACATCAAAACAAATGTCGGACACGTTGGGCTAAGGGCACATTATTCTTCAGTTCCAAGCTCTAGACATGCCTTTGTAGACCGTATGCGGCATATAGATATCGGTTGCACCTGAAGATTAGACGGTATTACAAGATGGGTGGATGGCCCAGATGAGTTGAATTCATGACCCTTTACAAAGACTTGCTGGCTTGTGCCTAGTGATACATGGCTTAATTTCCGTAATTGTACATCTTTTTGCTGTAGTTTGACCCTCTCACAAAACCTGGGTGGCAACAGTACCAACAGGTCTTTCGACGAACTCCATGACGCCATTGATGATGTTCTTCCTGGCCTCCTCTGACGCAACCTTCTTACCAGAGAGGTAGTTGAGCCACAGCAGCCTTGAAAGTCGTTCGTCCTCAACAGTTCCCAGTGTGGACTTGACAGACTCCTTGCGAGTGCCATCGGTGTAAGTGATGGTCAGCTTTCCAGCAGCATCTCGAACAAGAAGCAGTTCGTTCTTCTTGGCCACCAGCCCTCGTTGGAACAGGATTTTAAAATGTTTCATGGCATTTCCAAATGTCTCGTCGTTATATTCCGGATTATGTGATGAGCGAGCCTGAACAGCCCTCACAAGGCCGTCGCGCATATGAGGGAAGTCAGTATCTCGGACAGGGGTGATGCGGAACGCTGAGCGGCATCCAGCGTCCTTCAGAATCAAGTTCCATGTCTCTTCACCCTCGATAGGATCCTGGAGAGCCTTGCGTAGATCCTCCTTCTCAGTAGGAATCAGTGTTGTGGCTAGAGGGTTAATTTTCTTGACCAGATATCGCTGAAGCTTCTCGATATCCTGGGTAGCAACATAGAAGCCCACCACGTACACCTCGATGCCAAGGAAGGTCACTGTCCTTGTTCCCAACCCAACCAGTGTGAACTCTGTACCATGCTTGTCCGTCACAGCGGCAGCGATTGGGCCAGCGACGTCGCCTGCTGCTCCGGCATCCTCAACTTCTAACCTTCGAGGGAACAATTTAACGGTCTTGTTGCCTGTAGGAACAACCTCATTTCCATCCTCATCGTGAATAACCACTTTTCGCTTCTCGCCCGCCTCGGTCTTGAAGATTTCTGTCGGAACTTCCGTATCGCATTTGATAGCAGCCTTCTCTTTTTCTCCTTGGGCCTCAATGGCCTTCTTCAATTTCCATGCTGTGTAGACGAAGGAAACAATGCCGGCAATGGCACCAGCAGCTAGAAAAGCAGTGCGGTTCTGTTCGTAATCTCGTCGCTTAGAATTGAGCTGATTGACATCGAGGTCATCGGCTAGGCGGTTCGATCGCTGGGAGAAAAGAGTCCTTCGGGTTGTTCGAGCGATGGCGCATCTTGTGTGGGCTGATGCGCGAAGCGCAGGGCGGAGAGTTGAGGGACGGAGCATCGTGGCGCTCGCGACGTAATGTCGAACAGACCAACGACTAGCAAATTGAAATAGCAAAGTCTCCTCAACCGTCTACACCAAGAAATGAGCTTGGTGGTGATGGTCTGAGTTGTCAGTCAGGTACGTGGAAGAGTTCCATGCCATACGGAACATGCGGGTAAACCTAATCCGAGGAAATCGAATGGTTGCGGGGGCCCACAAAATACATCGCCAAGATCAAATCCATCTACGTCAGCGATGCTATCGCGAGGGGTCTTACCCTGTACCTCGACCTTTGAATCGAGATGCTTTAATATAATGGGTTGTCACAGGAGTTGGATATGGTCAGAAGATATGTGTCAGTTTCAAAATATTAACGTTTTTAGATAGTTATCCAATATACTAGCTCTAACGCCTCCTTCACAGCTTCAACGTGATAACTAGCAGTTGAAACGTGCATCAGCGTGACATTTGTGTCATGTGAAACTCGATCATAAAAGATGAGAGAGATGTCGGCGAAATTGTTGCCTCTTCTTGTCATGCATAGGTGCTAGAAAAGACCTGCATTATTTTCTATCCTTGTCATAGATACATTATACATATGCGTTTACTTGCATCCTCATATCCATTTATCACCGCGTCGTCTATTAATGGCTCAAGCCACCTGCACGGCGGATATTGATTCGTCCTTTCAACCTTTGAACCTCAAATCAGAACATTGATCACACCTCCTTCATGTACCTGATCCCATGTCAGTCATCTTCCCCGCAGCAACAACAGATAGACAGCCTAACAAAAGGACATGTTGACTGAGGCGTGAACCAGGCACGCGGTTTACTGAAACATCAATCATTCCTCGCATTGAACCTGACTCCAACTCACGCATCATCACCAAGAAAAGAACAAGAACAACAGCAAAACAAAGACCCGCAGACCTCAAACCCCTGACCTAACCAGTCCTGACATACCAAAGAATCCCCACTACGGACATCCCGCCCGACTACGACGTAGGAGGAGATCCAGATTCTAGGCTGGGGGAGATCAACTGGCCTGGGCTCACCCAATCCATCCTCTATCGGGTTCAGTCTCAAGCTCAGCGCTTGTAAAAAAGGGCCATCGTAGCGCACGACAGCGGCACTTTTACAGGGGACGCGGCTGAAACCAGCAAAATAAACACAAACGCCTCTTCGATCCATGTCTCTGGCCCATCCCCTCTTCCTCGTGGATACTTGTGCTTCTTCATCATTTGGCTGTGTCATCAGTGTCGTCTTCCCTGCTTTTCAAGTACCGCAGCCGCGCCCAACCTGACCCTGGCGCTGGCAAGACTGGAGCCCAGCACCCAAAAACCTCCGCCCCATTTGGCATTTGGCTGCCCTGCCTTAACTCAATCATTACCTTACCTTGCCTTACCAAAGCCAACAAACTCTCAGCGCCAAAACATCATCATCACCTTCATCGCAGTCGCGAAACACGCCTTTCGGGTATGAAAGGACCTTTTTGACCTGTATTCTTATTCACGCATCTTCCGATTGCTCGCTGCTTGCCTGCACACACCCATCCCTGTTGCTGTCCCTACGATAAACAGTCATCCGCTACCGCTGCTTAAGAATCACCCTTGTGATCCCTGAACTCCGCCTGAATCCTGCCCAAACACCGAAAAAAGCCACACTGAAAGCGCTGCTTTGATCGTGTTTGCGTTTCCATCTGAAGCGCTCCTCCCTCAATACTGACAATATGGCCGCTGCTGCCGCTGGCCCTGCCTCTAGGCAGAGTCCTGCAACCGCCGACGAGCAGGAAGATTCTCGATCGTCATCCTCGTCAACTTCCCCCGCGCCCGCCGATAACGAAGAGTCCGATTTCTTTCTTGGAGCCAACGACTCCCAGTCAAGCATCGGAGTCCCCAACTTTCAAGATATGCAGGTGGAAGATGCTTGCCAACCGCCCGTCCATCGGTTGCCAAACGAGATTCTCATCAGCGTGTTTGCCAAATTGAGTTCCTCCTCGGATCTGTTCCACTGTATGTTGGTCTGCAAACGCTGGGCTAGAAACACAGTAGATCAACTCTGGCATAGACCAGCGTGTACGAGTTGGAAGAACCATGGTAGCATTTGCCAAACGCTGCAGCTCGAGACACCGTCTTTCAGATATCGCGACTTTATCAAGAGACTCAACCTTGCCGCCCTTGCTGACAAAATCAGCGATGGCAGTGTTATGCCGCTCGCAGTCTGTAGTCGGGTGGAACGTTTGACACTTACGAACTGTCGCAACCTCACCGATTCCGGACTTATCGCCCTTGTGGAGAATAGCACCTCGTTGCTGGCACTCGACATTTCCAACGACAAGAACATTACCGAGCAGTCTATTAACACCATCGCCAAGAACTGCAGTCGCCTTCAAGGACTCAACATTTCTGGTTGCGAGAATGTCTCCAACGAGAGCATGATCAATTTGGCAACAAGCTGTCGCTATATTAAGAGAGTAAGTTTACGATGAAGCTTTGCATGGCTGGACGTTGGCTAACTCAATGCAGCTGAAGTTGAATGAATGTAGCCAGCTCCAAGACGACGCCATCCACGCCTTCGCCGAAAACTGTCCCAACATCCTCGAGATCGACCTCCACCAGTGCAATCGCATTGGTAACGGCCCTATAACTTCTCTCATGGTCAAGGGCAACTGTCTCCGAGAGTTACGGCTTGCAAGCTGCGAACTAATCGATGACGATGCTTTCCTGACTCTACCCCATGGACGACTATTTGAACATCTCCGCATTCTCGACCTGACATCCTGCGTGCGTTTGACAGACGCTGCTGTCCAGAAGATTATTGATGTCGCACCTCGCCTTCGTAACCTCGTTCTTGCAAAGTGCCGAAACATCACTGATGTAGCCGTTCATGCTATCTCAAAGCTTGGTAAGAACCTGCATTACGTGCATCTAGGCCACTGTGGCAATATCACCGATGAAGGTGTCAAGAGATTAGTCCAGAACTGCAACCGCATTCGATACATCGATCTGGGCTGCTGTACCAACTTGACAGACGAGAGTGTGAAGCGCCTTGCTCTGTTGCCCAAGCTGAAGCGTATTGGACTTGTGAAATGCAGCTCCATCACGGATGACTCAGTCTTTCATCTCGCCGAAGCCGCGTTTCGCCCCAGAGTACGACGAGATGCCAGTGGCATGCTCGTTGGCAATGAGTACTACGCCTCGAGTCTCGAGCGTGTTCATCTGAGCTACTGTGTCAACCTTACCCTCAAGGTTCGTCCCCATTCATTTCCAGGATTGCCATTACTGACATTTCACAGAGTATCATGAAGTTGCTCAACTCATGCCCTCGATTGACCCACTTGAGTTTGACTGGAGTTGCCGCTTTCCAGCGTGACGACTTCCAGCCATACTGTCGACAAGCACCCCCAGGTATGTTTATTGTAAACTCTCGTTTACTGCTGCTGACCCGATGACAGAATTCACTCAACACCAGCGAGATGTGTTCTGCGTCTTTTCCGGCACTATGGTATCCAAGTTCCGTGATTTCCTTAACACTTCACCACAATTCGAGGACCTATGGGACATGCACAGCTGGAATCGAACAGCAGTCTACCCCGGACAACGGCAACGCACTTCCGTAATGCAACCACCGGCCATTGCCGGAGATGGAGCCGACGATGAGATGGTTGACGATGAGAATGATTTCGAGGGTCTGGACGGCAGCGAGATGGTCGTGGATGCCCAGGCACAGAATCCGGTCAACGGTAACGGAACGATAAATCCCAACTCTCTTATGAACCATGGATTTCAACAAGCTATTCCCGTACCACCTCCACCTCCTAGCGTCCCAACAGGTCAGCTCCCTCCATTCTTCCCGACGTTCGCCCGCTTCCTGCCTTCATCGTCACTCGCACGACAGGAACCAGGATTGCCTGGGCCAGCTTTTATTCAGAATAGCATTAACAACCTACTAGAAGGCGGATTATCACAGCATACCACTACCCAAGCGAGCGCTGCACCTCTTGGACACGGGCATCCAGGGAACGGGGAACCCTCGACCGGCGCAAGCACTGCGACCATCCACCGACCTCAAGAGAACGGTGACCACTCTGACGCCATGAACTGAATGACCGACACTTTGCTTTAGCTCTAGAAATGACACCACCGGATTCTTTTCGTTGTTCACTTCCCTGTTCATGGTAAGATAGCCCGACCACAGCAAGAGACGCGACTAACAGCCACCAGCATTAGATTATACACGCTTTCGCTTACGTACACAATGGCTAGAGGACACAGGAGTGTATATGGAGTTTTGTGTTTAGCATGCCGTGATTTTCGGCGACGACTTTTGACGGCAAAGACCAAGATACCACAGGACAAAGAAGGAAGCGGGAGGCATGACAATGAGAACTCACGTGCTTTGGTTTTACGCCCTTGATAGGAGTATAAAGGACCCCTGAGGAAACGGTTTGTAGGGGGTGTAATTTATGACAATCAAATATCAACGGCCAATGGGTCTATATGCTTATTCATGATTATGCGAGAACCGTCCTCGAAATGGTAGTGAGAAGTGCTATGTTGGTGACCGTTTGTGCTTTCAATGGACTTGTCAACGCGGTATGGAGAGCTTCAGAAGGCATTACAAAAGGGTATATTTAACTCTAAACTTAGAAGCGAGTGACGCTCGAGATACAGAACACGCATCTTCCACTCTGACAATTTGAACCGCCCATATTTCACTACTTCGCACCTTAGACCTTCTCCTGACTTGTTCGGGCACTAGCATCAGAATGAGGATGTGTGCTGTCGGCCATGTGTCGAGTCATCTCAACATAGTCATAGGCAAACTCGCCCAGCTGGCCATCATCAGTGCCGAGCTCCTCCTCCTCTGCAGAGACACGAAGGGAGAGGCCGGGGATGAGGTTGAGGATGAAGAGGAGAATGCAAGTGAGAGTGAAGGACCAAGCAAAGACGGCAAGAGTACCAGCAATCTGGTAACCCAGCTGAACAAAGTGACCGTCAACCCAGCCAATGGGGTCGTACTCTCCACCGTCGAGAGCGGCAATGGTTTTGCTTTTGTGAGTTAGCAGTGTCATTAAAGAGAAGGGAAATAGGGAGACGTACGTTCCAAAGATACCGGTGAGGATGTTACCGACCATACCACCAATACCGTGGATAGCAAAGATATCAAGACTGTCGTCGACGTTGATGAGGAACTTGACCTTGGTGGCGAAGTTGCAAAAGACACCACCGCAGATGCCGATAATGACAGCAGCCCAGGGCTTCACGAAACCAGCGGCAGGAGTGATGGCAACGAGACCAGAAATGGCACCAGAGCAGAAACCGATAGTGCTCCACTTCTTCTCGAGACGGTAATCGAGGATGATCCAGGCAATGGCACCGCATGAGGCAGCGAGGTTGGTCACGTAGCATGCCATGACGGCGCGGATGTTCATGGCGAGAGCAGAACCGCCGTTGAAGCCGAACCAACCGACCCAGAGGAAGACCGTGCCGAGAACAACGTGGGTGACGTTGTGAGGGCGGTAAGGAAGACCGTTGTTGTTGGAGTAGCCGGTACGCTTGCCGAGCATGAGGGAGTAGGCGAGCGCGCAGGTTCCTGATGAGACGTGAACGGGACCGCCTCCAGCAAAGTCGTAGCTGGGAAGGTTGAAGAGCCAGCCATTGGCGTTCCAGGTCCAGTAGGCGATGGGGTCGTAGACGATGGTGGACCAAAGGAACATGAAGACGATGGCGGGGAGGATGCGACCTCGATCAGCAACGCAACCGATGGCAAGGGCAGGACTGGTAATGTTAGGATAATGGACTCTCAAATTCTTGAGGGGTACTCACGTAATGGCAGCGAACATGCCCTGGTACAGACAAAAGAGAATGTCAGGGAGAGCAGAAGAGCCATTCGGTTGAGCGAGGGTGTCCATGAGACCAAACTGGGTCAAGTCGCCGAGGAATGAGTTTCCAGTTCGTGAGAAGGTCAAGGAGTATCCCCAGAAGAACCACTGAAAGCTGATGACCGCAACGGATATCATTGACAACAGAATGAGCGTCAAAGCAGACTTGCGACGGGCGAGACCACTGTAGAAGAAGCCGACGCCGGGAATCATGAGAAGCACAAGCACGGCGCTGACGGCGAGGAACGTCAAGTTGCCCGTCTAGACATTGTTAGAAAGCATCATACTGTGAGATACATGTGCAAAACTTACGTCGTAGAAGATGTTGAGATCATGCACATGGGTTGAGTAGCCATAGTCGGCATGATCGGTGGTGCCATTGTAAGGAGTGGTCATCTTGACGAGACTGCGCTTTCAGACGCGGATTCTTTGATCCAAACCTTTGCGCCGGTCGAACCTTTTTCAGCTTCAACTTAAGCTGGGAATAATGGAGTGATTGAAGGATGAAGAACCCGGGGCCACGGGACTAAATATGTTTTGACTCACTGAGCTTGCGACGACGGCCAGGACATAACGACGAACGTGGTGACAGGGGGAGGGTATGGCACATAAGTGTGGGGGATACTTGATAAGACGCCCGTAGCTTAAGCAGCAATAGGAAGGACACGGATACTCCACCACATACAGTAACGTACATGGTCGGGTTGGACTTTGGTGAAGCCGTATTTGGATACGGAGATGTCACACGGGTGTTGATGCTCAGGCGCCAAGCTGAGCTAGATGATGATCCTCCACGATCCCAAGACTCTGAAGTTTGTCCATGATACATAAGCTTGAACTGACTGTCCTGTAACAATGCGTTGACGTTGACTTGACACAACTCGTTTGCGCCAGAGACGAAGTGGTGGTCGTGTAAACGGCCCCCTGTATGGCTGTTCCTGAATGAGTCTGGCACACCCTCAGTGCTTATCACACATAGCATTCCGATCCGGTTGTATTGGGATGGACGCCACACCCAAGCTTAAATAGGCTGCGCTGATAAGCACCAATATCCCTATAGGACCTCCGGATTGCAACCTCCGCTTGGCAGTTGGTCCGCAATGAACATCGTCTCTTGGCCTAATTGTAGGCATTTGACTCCTTCGATGCATGCCGGGAGGGGAGATTGCTGTCGATATCGGCAGTGTATCCCGGCCATGCTTACTGAGGAATCAGAGGGTTGAATGTATGTATATCCGGACGGCCGCAAGAGAAGTTCTAGTGCTGAGTATGCCATTCTGATTCGCCATTGTTAGACTTATTTTAAGCATCTTTAAGCTCTTCATGTGTTGACTCTGACACGTCGGAATGGTGTTCCAAGCCCAGAGTTACATGGCGAGAAAGCTCCGAGCATAATGAAGCCTCGACACCCTCTTGTGCGACATGCACTCAATATTGCGCTTCCCCAGACGCCGCATAACCGGCCAGAGTTCGTTCTTATCTGACTTCTCCTAAAGGTTGCCGAATTCCAGGTCGAACCGTTGAAGGAGGTCGAATAGAGCATGTCTGATTGGATGTTTCCTTATCTCTTGGCAGCTTCGGTGGAGCGTCTAGCGTCAAGACCCTGGACAAGGACCAGGATCCTTGTCTCTGAGAGTCTGAGTGAGAGTCGTGTAGCTCGGCCGATACTTGATAAAGATAGACATGCTCAAGGTGCTCAAAGCGTGAGCGTTGGAGCCAAAATTGGGGAGAAGCTGCTGTCTGCTCGAGACGGCTTTTTGTTGAAACTTTGTGTGTCTGACTGTGTTGTGCGAGGTACTGAACCTCCTCTCGGGTCAAAGGATTACTGGTGTCACGTAGAATATGGTTGTGTTCCATTCCCAATGATCTGGTGATGGACATGAATAAAATAAGCATATCGAGTCCACATGGACACACGGTCTTCGAGTGGCCAAGAATTGATGCGATTGACATCGTTTCCCCGGATTCTCAACTTTCAAAGATGCTTTTGCGCCCGCAACGCCCTAGATTGAGCCTCTGTTGCGCGCGTCGGTATGCGAGTCGCCCGCTACGACGATAGATATGATCGGGGACCATGTATATAAGCTGGACCTGCGTCCACTACAAGTTGGCAGTTTCTCGAAATCTAAGCTTACTTTGACGTTGAAGACCTTCAACGACTCTGTCTGAAGTTTCCTGGTATCGACCTTCGCAACCATCGTCAGCTGCTTGAGATATCCATCGGCTCCCACCCAGACGATTGTTCTTCGACCCGGACGACAATTGCTGAATCATTTCCCGAGAACGAGCAGGCCATGGGAACGACCGGATCGTAATGATTACCAACACTCTTGCATGCCTTATCAGACAGCGAGGACGCCGTCAAACTAGGCATTTCGTAACGGTTTCAGCTCATTTCAGCTTCAAGATGTGATATCAGGATACACCACGACGCGATAACCAGCTTCATGTGATGGTACGATCCAAAGGCCATTGGACAAGTCGAATTGTGCAAAATTGCCCATACCCTTGGCATAGATAAGGAACTTGGAGAAGTTGGAGTGTCGGTTGTGAGCTAGGACGCTAGGTCGCCTGTGGCGTCTTTAGCGCAAAGATAAGGGATCTCTCTAGTCTCTGCATGCCTTCAGGTAGGACACTCGGCAAACATGCAATGAATGTACAATTCGGGAGACTCGTAACTTAGAAGTGAGTCCGGCGCAGTTGAGCGGCTTGATAATGGAGTGTAGAATTGGATTTCGGTGCATGCGTGGTCACGAAAACAGACGCGGAACTCAGGTATCTCAGTTGGGTATCTCTGTTGATAGTGTTTTTGCATGATTGGACACATATCTTTGATGCGTGATATGGCATACTTGACCGCAGTCAAATAATGCCCATTTCGATTGCTCGTGACTTGCTTCGAAGTTGGCCTGAAAACAGAGCTGTAAAGAAATCTTTCCAGGCGGCACATGCGGCTTGCGTCTCCTGAGACAAAACGCTATTACTGGCGCACCCGTATTCCGGTGTTGCATCGTCGCAGTTGATAAACCCTGTCTAGGCGGTCGAATCATGTCTTGAGTTCAGCCTTCCATTCTTTTTCCAGCTCAACAAGGCACTCAGCAACTTTCCATGGTGCTTCTTCTTCTAGAATTCTCCTTTTGTCGCTTGATATCCGATCAAGAACGTAACGGCTAACGGTCTCTGGGTCTCTCTCGGCTGGCCGTCCAATCCCAACAGCAATTCGTACAAACGGCGACGTTGGGTATTTGCTTTGTGAAAGAGATCCCTTGACACTTTTGATACCATTGTGGCCTTTGTGACTTCGGTCCCACGCCGTGAGGCGCACAATGCCCAAGTCCTTTTCGAGCTCATCGTGAACAATCACTAGACTGAGTGATGAGGGGTCATGTTGATTGGTCATTTCTTTCCACGCCTTTGCAACAAAACGTCCAGAGATGTTCATCAGAGTAGGCGATTGAACGAGGGTGTATTTGGGACCTTGAGATACAAGGCATGTCTGATTTCCGAAGTTCACCTCTCGAAACGAGGGTTGACGCAAGACTTGAGCAAGGCCATTGAGAGCGAAATGACCGGCAGAATGTAGACTTTCGTATTTGGGCAAGGGATTGCCCAGACTGACAACGAGAAAGCGGGGATTGAACATCCTGACGCGGTATCCAATATCAAAACGCAGATCAAATTCTTTCCTCCCAATTCAACTCAGGCTTCCACGCGCAATCACGTGCATCGAACTGTACTGTAGAGCTCATCCTCACACAGCCCCATCTCTGACGTCGATCAGCCGATTGGGCTGCCAGGCACTGCGGGTTAGTGTGGCTGAGCTCCAGTTTTGTCGTCACTCTATCCCCAACTTCCATGTTTATTGCCTGCCAACTCCTGTGCAACTTTACAACGATATACCCTCGAGCGTATTTGAGCCCTTGCGTCGAATTACACACGCAAACGAAACCAGTTAATTCATTTTCTACCAGCAATTCTTTCAATATGTCGTGGGCGGGTAGGACAGCCTTCACCCCGCAATCCCGAGCAGAGGGGTCTAATATGAAGCAGGGTTTAAGAAGAATGTCAATCGCGCGACGACGCAGGTGATGATGAAGACGGGTATGCGCTTCGAATGAAACACTCGAGTGTGGAGCTGATTGCGTTGCAGGGCATGTGGAAAAGACGAATGACCGTGATTACGAAGTCGAAGAGAGGTCAGCAATCGCAGATTAACAACATTGGACGACAACATCTAACGAAAGCAGACGATTCAAGACAATGGAAGCTGCTGCTTTGCGACTACAAAAGGAATCAAAGGGATATCTCGACTCCCTGAGAGGTACGCTCATGATCTGCGACACATGAAGCTCGATACTAAAACCCGAACCCAGCCATGACCGCATCGCAAATGCGAATCGCCGAGACGATAGATGCGTTCTACGGCGACTCAGGCGCGAAAGACGGTGTCAGCAGAAGTTACAAGCAGGCCGTCGAAGATCTAGACGCCGAAACCATCAAAGCCCTCGATGGCCCCTACCGAACAACCGTTCTCGACCCCATCACACGGTTCTGCGCCTACTTCCCCGACGTCAACGAGGCGATTAAGAAGCGTGCTCACAAACTGCTCGACTACGATGCCCTCCGCGCAAAGGTGAAGCGCCTCGCCGAGAAGCCCGACAAGGACGCCACGAAGCTGCCCCGGACCGAGAAGGAGATGGAGATGGCCAAGGTTGCTTACGAGCAGCTGAACGAGCAGCTCAGCACCGAGCTACCCCAACTTATCGATCTCCGAGTGCCGTACCTCGACCCCACTTTCGAAGCTCTCGTCAAGATCCAGCTGCGTTTCTGCGCGGAGGCGTATTCGCGCATGGCGCAAGTACAGCAGTACCTGGATGCCGACACCAGAGATCAGTATGCCGAGGGACAACTAGACGCCAGAGTTGAGCAGGTGTTGCAGGAGATTCGGGAGCTGAGCATCAGTGGCACGGTCTAGGCTTTGGGTTGGCTTCTACAACTTATCCGGTTGGGGGAAACGGCGTATAGGTGCTTTCTGCTTGTAGATACTTGCTAACGTCATGAATATCATGCACAAATAGACATAGCCCATTGCGGGCTCATGGAAACGCATGCTTATGTGCAGACCGCTGTAATTTTACATTATTGGGCTTTTGTGCCCTGCCTCTTGGGCGAAAACTGTGCAAGTACTAACTATTGGGACTGCTCTAGCCCGTGACCATGTAAACGCTGAAGCTCAAGAGGTTGATTACATTCCCATAATCCCGAGACCGAAAAGTAGTTGGATATCGTGGGAGCTCTACTCTGTGTCAACTTCGGACTCCGACCCCGGAGACTCCGACTTCTCAGACTCTGGAATATAAGAAACCGACCTCACTCGCTCCAACTCCCCTGGCTCG